GGCGCTTTTATATTATTTACTTCACTGAGATCATTCAACATTGATTCTGTCTGTCCCTTTGTATCAGTCAGGTACTTAGAGTAGCTTATCATCCACAATAGGATTAAGTGTGATTCCTGTTTTTAATTTCCATTTTGATTGTGACTTGAATGTTATTTCACAGTTTTACTGATAAATGTGAGCAAAAGCCATGTTAAATGTGTAATAAAAGTGCCAAATACATTTCCTTTAGATAAAGTAGCTTGCACTGAAAACAAATAATGTTGGTGACAAAAAAAAACCTACAACTTAAAAAAATACTAATTTAAGTATTGTTTCTTAAGGGTATAAAGATGATACTTTCTTGTTCAACAAAGATTGTTGTGGAACATTTGCTATGTCTGTAACTAAAAATGAAAAAGACATATTAAACAAGTGATCACATTTGCGATCTAGCAGAGAAAGATGAACACATTAAATGTTGTAATGCAGCGGTTTTCAAAGTGTGAGGCGCGCCTCCCCTGGGGGGCGCCAGAGAGCTTCAGGGGAGGCGCAGCTTGAGAAAAAGAACAACGAGAAAAAGACGAGTAAAGTGACACTTGCACACTTTTGGCTGTCTGTGGAGACTGTGGGTTCCCGAACCTCGCCAAAATGGCTGTAAAAGTGCTCATTCCCTTCACCTCCACCTACCTGTGTGAGTGCAGGTTTTCCGCATTGACTTTGATCAAAAGCAAGTGCCGGTGAAGGCTGCAGCCAGAGGATGATCTGCGTTTATTCCTGTGTGCATCTCATACCCCTTTCACACCAACGGTGTTTCAGGGCCGGTTCGGTGCTGGTGCTTGAAAAGCACCGGGTTTTCCTGTTCACACCGCAGCGGAGCAGCGTCATAGCTCCGGAATCCGGTTCGTTTCGAGCACCAAAAAGTTGTCCGTCTAGAAGCAAGAACCGCATACGTCACGTTTACGTCGGAGGGGGGCGAGATTAACCTGAGCTAACACTTAAGGCGAGTACGGCAAATAAAAGTTGTAACAAGCAGTAGTGCTGAGCAAAGTGACTAGAACGCAACCACACACTTGTTAAAAAAAACACACTTTATAAAGTCAGGCAACACTAACCAGGCTTCGTGTGATTCTGTTTATTTGTACCTTACTTTGACCATCCGTTCGCTGTTATTGATCATTGTGGAGAGCAGGCAGACGTTTGTTATTATAGCAGCTATCGGATGGAATCAATACATGGGCTGCACAGGTTGTCATGTCCGACTATCACAAGTAGAATCATAATGAAAAATACGTCGGTAAAATGTGCCTGTAGAAAACTGCTTAGCAAGTAGTCAGTTTAGCTTCGGTTGCTATGCTAACATCACCCATGTTATACCAGAGAAACTTTCATAACAGCGTTGTGATGCCAAACAGCGTCAATTCAGACTGACACCAAACAGCGTCAATTCAGACTGACACACATTCACTTAAGGGGAACTGGGGATATGTATCAGCTGCTTGTGTGACAGTCAGACAGTGAATACTTTAGAGCCGTGTGAGCTAACCCGGAGCTAACGGGAGAATACACTCCCGTTGAAGAGCAGCCGGCCAGCACTGCAGCGGTCGGTAAATGCCGCTGAAACACATTAATAAACAATGAACCACGGCACTCTGGAGAAAAGTATAAGGTTGGAGAAGTCGTTATTTAATTTAATCTGGCTTCGTATGATTAAAAGCAACGCAGTCCCCGGCCCGTTGTTGTTGTGAAGTGAGCTCCGGCGTTGGGGAGAAACTCAGCGACGTAAACTGTGACGTCATGACGCAGCAGCGGCAGCACCAGTCGGGCTCTGAGCGGTGTGAAAAGAGCCGGCGCTAAACCGAAGAACCGGTTCTGAACCAGAAAAGCTCTAGCACGGAGCTTGAACCGGAGTTGCGTTGGTGTGAAAGGGGCAAAAGACGCAGACTCATTGTTCCCACTAAAGTAGGGGTGAGTGTAATAAGGAGGCAAAGTTGACGTTCAGTGTGTTGCCGGGAGCATATAAGGATTTATCCACGATGTTGAAAATGTAAATTTAAAAAAAAATATATGTGTTGAGAACACCGTGCGAAAATATACGGGTCGTGCTGCAGCTAGATTTGCCTGTCCTCTGAAGGTGTCAGCGACTGACATGCAAGGAAGAACGGCTGTCCACAGGCTGTTCCAACTTTAACAACTTTATTAACTTCCATGGTAGTGAATTGAACATGCTATTGTAATTGGGTGTGTGGTATATTTTCATGCACGCACACGCATGTTCCACAACACACTGAACAACACTCAATTGTCCGATCGCTACTACCCCTTTCACACCAACGGTGTTTCAGGGCCGGTTCGGTGCTGGTGCTTGAAAAGCACCGGGTTTTCCTGTTCACACCGCAGCGGAGCAGCGTCATAGCTCCGGAATCCGGTTCGTTTCGAGCACCAAAAAGTTGTCCGTCTAGAAGCAAGAACCGCATACGTCACGCTTACATCGGAGGAGGGCGAGATTAACCTGAGCTAACACTTAAGGCGAGTACGGCAAATAAAAGTTGTAACAAGCAGTAGTGCTGAGCAAAGTGACTAGAACGCAACCACACACTTGTTAAAAAAAACACACTTTATAAAGTCAGGCAACACTAACGTGTGATTCTGTTTATTTGTACCTTACTTTGACCATCCGTTCGCTGTTATTGATCATTGTGGAGAGCAGGCAGACGTTTTGTTTGTTATTATAGCAGCTATCGGATGGAATCAATACATGGGCTGCACAGGTTGTCATGTCCGACTATCACAAGTAGAATCATAATGAAAAATACGTCGGTAAAAAGTGCCTGTAGAAAACTGCTTAGCAAGTAGTCAGTTTAGCTTCGGTTGCTATGCTAACATCACCCATGTTATACCAGAGAAACTTTCATAACAGCGTTGTGATGCCAAACAGCGTCAATTCAGACTGACACCAAACAGCGTCAATTCAGACTGACACACATTCACTTAAGGGGAACTGGGGATATGTATCAGCTGCTTGTGTGACAGTCAGACAGTGAATACTTTAGAGCCGTGTGAGCTAACCCGGAGCTAACGGGAGAATACACTCCCGTTGAAGAGCAGCCGGCCAGCACTGCAGCGGTCGGTAAATGCCGCTGAAACACATTAATAAACAATGAACCACGGCACTCTGGAGAAAAGTATAAGGTTGGAGAAGTCGTTATTTAATTTAATCTGGCTTCGTATGATTAAAAGCAACGCAGTCCCCGGCCCGTTGTTGTTGTGAGGTGAGCTCCGGCGTTGGGGAGAAACTCAGCGACGTAAACTGTGACGTCATGACGCAGCAGCGGCAGCACCAGTCGGGCTCTGATCGGTGTGAAAAGAGCTGGCGCTAAACCGAAGAACCGGTTCTGAACCTGAAAAGCTCTAGCACGGAGCTTGAACCGGAGTTGCGTTGGTGTGAAAGGGGCAGTGTCCTTGCGATCTTGTTATAAGTTGAGACCATTCGGGCTTATTCTAGAGGGGTGCAAGGAATAGTCCAAGTAGTGGGGGAGTTTTATACAACATGTTTAAAACATAAAGATAAAAATGTTTTAAAAAGTTATTGTTTAATGTTTTAAGGAGGTGATGCTACTCAGCCAATCATATCGGTGCACTCAGTGAGTCAGCACGATAGATTCAAACACACACACAGAGACGAGACAAGAGGAGAGAAACAGTCTTCATTTGATCTTACTGGACCTCTTTGAAATGCAATTGAATACCCCTGCATTATAGCAACAACAACAATAATAATAATAATAATAGCAATAATAATTGGGAGGGGGGGCGCCGCTGTTCTTATGTTCTCTGAGGGGAGGCTCACCTTCCCACACTTTGAAAACCCCTGTTGTAATGAGTCTATGAAACAACAGGATGGAGTGCAAATAAAGGGCCATTATATCCTTACAATAAATAATATACAGGTGTAGATATTTATGGTGAAGCAGTTGATTTTTTCTCATAACATACAACAAAAGAAAGGCCTCTTTAAAAGTGTTAAGAATGCCATTTACATGTCTTGACAAGAAAGCAACTAACTAAGTTGCAAATCATGAAAAAAAAAAAAGGGTTGATGTTTTTCTTACCTTTGCACCAATCTGGTTCCCGCACTGGCCGGCCTGGATGTGCACAATTTCCCTCATGATGGCTGTAAGTTGGTGATGAGTAAAGTGTTGGCAGAGATAGAGGTGCTGCTGACCCACTGACAGGCATGCTGAAGGCTGCACGGTGGGACAATCCTGCAGGCGGGGCTAAAGTGTTGGGATGCGGCCGTCACTCTGAGCACGGTAATGATTGGCTGATGTTGTTGGAGCCCCGGTGCTGATTGGCTGAAAGGACAGAGTTTTTGCTAAAGGGGTTTCCTTGTCTTAATGGCAAGGAACGGAAAAGAAGAAGGATTTTGTCATCACTGTCCCGTTGGAGCCTATATGAAGCATAAGTTTGATGCCCTGCTAAATTAAATGAAACAATAGAGTAAAGAAGAATAGAATGGGTAGATAATTTTATATTTTATAATGAAGAAAATAACTTGTCAACCTGATTTTGGCGTCGTAGCCTATTGTGTATATTTTAGATCACCCTAAGTTTTTCTGCACACTTTTTTTCCAACTTTGTATAGCAAAGTGCATACAAACCTAAATATACACGATACAAACAAGTCAAGGAAAACCTATACAAATACGTTTGTGGGGGTTCAATAATTACTCATTCCCAAAAGCAGTGTAGACGTTTGAATACCAGGCTTTTACTTGTTATGGGGTATTTCTACAATTATGTAATGCTACTTTGGTTTAAGTACAAGATTGTAGTACTTTTTACACCACTGTTTTAAGAAGGGAAGCACATGAATGGAGCAAAGCACTGAACATGCTTCCCAAAATAAACAGTGTGTTAGTTGCAGTTCTCCACTCCGCCACAAGAAGGCGGCCGCTCACAGGGTGAGAGATGGCGTGCTGAATAAAAACCGCTGAGCTGCAGTGTTGTGTTCACGGACCGCTTCATCTCAGCTGCTGTCAAACGCAAATAAACGTCACCTGGGACTAAATTACAATAATTGTTCCCAAAACAGACCGCTATTTATTCCACCATTATCACCTTACTCTACATAAACTACATCATTTATTTTCTAACCGGTAAGTGTGTCTCTATTTGACGTCTCTATCCACAGCCATTGTCGATTGTAAACACACATATGGTAGTAAAATTGATTGACTTAATGGTTAAACAGCTAGCCGCCAGCAAAATGCACATAGTAATATAACACACATGTAAGCGTTACTCTCTTACTGCTCTAATGTGTGGGGTTTCCAGTTATTTCAGTGGCTTTTTGTCCATTTTTACTGCGTAACATTTGTGTAAATGACATTCTATCCATGCTGGTCTGCTCTCAGGTACCCAAGCCAAGTTACAGTACAAACAACATAGGCTACTTTTTGAGGCCTTATATTTTTAATATAATAATGCAAATGTGTTTGTATAGAAGATGTCCAAACACTTATTTTATTAAATTGAGTGTTTGCAAGGTGGGAATTTAATAGTGACTCAGTATTTTTCTTTTGTTTTATTCCACAACTTTCTTTCCTTTTCAGTTTGAAAGAGGATCAGCCATCATGTTCTACACCTGTGGTCCCAACGAGGCTATGGTGGTGTCCGGTACAATTAGGCCTATATAAATCATCTTTCTTCATCAAAAAAATACCATAATCAAATATGTATCTTTCTTGCTTTTCATTCATTTCCATCCATTCAAAGTGGGGCTTACCAAATATTTAACATTATCTAGTTGATAATTTTGTTAGCAAAGATTAGTATTTCTATTTATCCAGTTGGCTGTCTTATTTTGAAGTAGAACATGCTACAACATCTAATACTATAACAACTTGATGTTGCAATATTTTGTTCACATCACTCAACCTTTGACGTCTGACTTGAGGCTCTGCTCGATCTTTTATGTGTCCCAGGGTTTTGTCGTTCTCCTCCACTGATGATACCTGGAGGCCGAGTGTTCGTCATCCCGTGCATCCAGCAGTTACAGAGGTCGGCAAATATGAATATACTGTTTTCTGTCCATCTTTATTCCTGATATTGGTGCTTTTTCATCTCACGCCTAGACTACTGCAACTCGCGCCTAGACTCTCACGCCTAGACTACTGCAACTCCCTCCTGGCTGGTCTACCTGCATGTGCCATCCGACCTCTGCAGCTCATCCAGAATGCAGCGGCTCGTCTGGTCTTCAACCTTCCAAAATGTTCCCACACCACGCCGCTCCTCTGCTCACTTCACTGGCTTCCAGTAACTGCTAGACTCCACTTCAAGACACTGGTACTTGCGTACCATGCTGTGAATGGATCGGGCCCTTCCTACATCCTGGACATGGTTAAACCATACACCCCAGCACGTGCACTCCGCTCTGCATCAGCCAAAGGGCTCGCTGCACCCGCACTGCAAGGGGGACCCAAGTTCCCATCAGCAAGAACACGTAGTTTTGTTATCCTGGCTCCAAAATGGTGGAATGAGCTCCCCATTGACATCAGGACAGCAGAAAGCTTACACATCTTCTGGCGCAGACTAAAAACTCATCTCTTTCGACTCCACTTCGAGCGATAGAATTACTAACAAAGCACTTATATACTAACAAAGCACTTATATACTAATAAAGGACTGGCTTATCTAAAGCCAGTTGAGTAGCACTTGAAATGTTTTGGCTCTATGAAACCTGATGTACTTATATGATTCTGTTTTCTTCAAGTTTGTATCTTCTTGGTCGAATGCACTTATTGTAAGTCGCTTTGGATAAAAGCGTCAGCTAAATGCAATGAAATGTAATGTAATGTAATGTTTTTAACGGACCTGGTTTGGCAAAGAAGATTAGCTTGCAAAAAGCATTAATATTAATTGTAAAGGAAAGATTATCTTTGCACTACAGGATATTTTATTAAAAGGTAACTAACAAACCATATAAAAGTCATCACCAAATGTGATTAAAATCCCAGGATGATTGATGGACTCCTATTGGAAACGATGGTCATATTCCTCCTCCTTAGCAGATACAAATGATTAGGAGCATAATTTTCTTGTCTAATAATGTAATTCATTTTTTACATAAACCATTGCTTACCTGTTTGTCTACAACTAACATCTCACAACAGCAATTTGATATCGATCAAGCCTGCAGGCAGGACAGGCCTTTTTTCTTTAGCTGGAATCTCAATAGGAGTACATAGCGGAAATAACCTTAATGTATACCATTAGGGCAGTAGATATTAAATCAATAATCATAATCTCCTTTCTGTCTCACCCTGCCTTTCTCCAGGATTTCTCTGAACACGCTGACTCTGAATGTGAAGAGCGATAAAGTGTACACCCGCCATGGGGTGCCTGTCTCCGTCACCGGGATAGCCCAGGTCAGTGTCCCCTCTGCAGAGGGAGCAGCAGGAGGGAGTTTCCTAGGGGGAAAGGTCTAGAGTAAAGGACAAATAGTTCCTTAGGGTCATCAGAAGGGAAAAAACTGTCAGTTTACATCTTAACCCGGATACACTTTATAATAAAGAGGCAAGGTTTGTGTATACACTCAGTCAGTTTGTTCATTATGGCTCATCTTCATCTCTTCGTAAGTTACATTCACCAAACAAGGCAAATTCATTTATATAGCACATTTCAAAGTGCCTTACAACAAATATTAAAACAGTGATTAAAAGCCAAGAGAAAAAACAGATAGTAAATATGGCAGATGGGAGCCTGTTGTAGCATTTCAAATCTCAGCATTAGTAAATCATTTTCCTATTTGTATGTACTTCAGGCAAATGTAACAACAGATTCAAATATCACAATATCTTGTGACAAAATACCTCAATATTGATATTGCCAAGATTTTGTAGGGGTGACTACTATTTACACAATGAGGTTTTTGATAAATAATCTTCAGGAATGTGGCTGCAATGCCTTAAAGTGGACCTACATGCTATATTTGAATAATATATTGTAGGGCCATACCTATATAAGGTATATTTATACGTTTTATTTTTAAAAATACCAAACAGATCATGCATTTTAGCCATGCCTCATTTCGCTCTATTTTGCTCTCCACCCTGTCTTTGCATGCGCTGCAGCTGACCACGCCCCCCTGCAAAGGAGGGGGCCGAGTTACGAGTGTCGTGTTACCATGCTGTTACCATGCCACGGCAACCTCTCATTCCCCTGATAGGTCAGCTCCTCCGTCCTGACATCAGAGACATTTTCAAATCTGGATCAGTTTTTATCAGATCCGTTGCAGCCCCGTTTTTAGAGATTTGGGTATGGAGGAAAATAGAGAGGGTTGTGTTTTCTGACACTTGGTGAGTTCCCTGGAACACCGGGGACACATATTCATGTATAAAAGACGTACAAAAGTGCATTTTGCATGATAGGTCCCCTTTAAGTGGCTAAAAGCAAATAATACAGAGTCAGGTAAGTACAGAACACTATATTTATTGTAATGCAGCTTTTAATTAAACTTGTGTGATATTACCACTTCGAGCAATAAAATGAAAACAAAACAAAAAAGCAAACCAAAATAAAAACCACTTATATACTAACTAAGCATTTGCATACTAACAAAGGACTGGCTTATCTAAAGCCAGTTGAGTAGCACTTAAAATGCTTTGGCTCTATGAAACCTGATGTACTTATATGATTCTGTTTTCCTCAAGTTTGTATCTTCTTGGTCGAATGCACTTATTGTAAGTCGCTTTGGATAAAAGCGTCAGCTAAATGAAATGTAATGTAATTACAAAATAAATGCAGATATGTAGTCCTCATATTGGTACATTTCAAAGCACTACTTGCTATTATTATGATTGTTTTATTATCAGAGTGTCTGGTATTGGTTTGCATAGATAAAGAGCTGCCATGGGGAAAGAACACAGCAATATCTTTCAGTTTTAATATTAAAAATGTTGCTTTTTCCCACAGATGAAGATCCAGGGTCAGAACAAACAGATGCTGGCTGCAGCTTGCCAAATGTTCATGGGGAAGTCAGAAGCAGAGATCGCTCAGATCGCCTTGGAGACGCTGGAGGGACACCAGCGGGCCATCATCGCCCACCTGACTGTGGAGGTAAGGGTGTTCATTAAATGAAGGGATTCAAAAACCTGGTTAAGAATTGTTACCCTGAATCACCTACTAGCTTCATATGCGCCTGGATAAACAATTTCCTAACAGACCGTCCTCAGACAGTGAAAATAGGCCCTTATTGCTCCTCCTCCCGCACCCTCAGCACTGGCTCCCCACAGGGCTGCGTGCTGAGCCCTCTACTCTACACACTCTACACACACAACTGCTCTCCCATTCACCCCTCCAACTCCATTATAACATTTGCGGATGACACCACTGTGGTCGGTCAAATATATAAGGGAGACGACGAGTCGGCATACAGAGACGAGATCCTGAAGCTGTCTGCGTGGTGTTCAGCTAACAACCTACATCTGAACACAAGCAAAACAAAAGAAATCATCATAGACTTCAGAAAGCACCGTCCAGAACCCGCCCCCCTTCACCTCAACGGAGAGAGAGTGGAGAGGGTCTCCACCTTTAAGTTCCTGGGGGTACACATTTCGGAGAGCCTCAGCTGGACAGCACACACCACTGCAGCAGTTAAGAAGGCTGGTGTCCTTCTACCGGGCGACCATCGAGAGCGTGCTGTCATACTCCATCTCTGTGTGGTATGCTGGCTGTTCAGCTGCGGACAAGAAAGCCCTGCAGAGAGTGATTAGGATGGCTGCCCCCTGCCCTCTCTGAAACACATCTCCACCTCCCGCTGCCTCAGCAGAGCAAATAAAATAATAAAGGACAGCTCTCACCCAGGTCACAGACTGTTCTCTCTCCTGCCTTCTGGGAGGAGATACAGGAGCTTCAAGTCACGGACAAACAGACTCTACCCCTGGGCCGTCAGGCTGCTTAACCACCACACTTAATGCAATAACCGTAACCATCTCCACACATATACACACTTTGAATGCACTTTAAAAATGATATACTATTTTTATATCAATATGTTTAACTATTTATTCCCCCCGTATGATTGCTTATGTTGTCTGTCCTACTGCCGTGTTTTTAATGTTATGTATGTCTAGTTTTTGCACACTGGGACAGAGTTGCACTCTGAATCTCGTTGTACTTTTTGTATAATGACAATAAAAGGCTTTAACTTAAAAATAAACTTGCCTTGCCTTGTAAATGTACTGTTTCAAATATGTCATTGTTCTTAGTTGCATTCAGTGAGTATAAGATGGAAAAGCTCATGTTAAAGGTTTGTTTATGTCACATTGCTTCTAACAAGGTTGAATATATGAAATAATACCTTGTATAGTTCTGATGCTTTCATGACCTTGAGAGACACTGAACTTCTTCCTCCTACAGGAGATCTACAAGGACAGGAAGAAGTTCTCTGAGCAGGTTTTTAAGGTGGCCTCCTCTGACCTGGTCAACATGGGCATCAGCGTGGTCAGCTACACGCTCAAAGACGTTCACGACGACCAGGTACCCACTTATCTTCTCATATCTTTATTAATGAGTCTTTTTCCAAATGTATAATTGCAACTCTTTGTCGGCTAGCCCTTCACTAGCCATTTGAATCTGACGTCTACTAAAAAAACGTTTGATTAATGAATGAATTATGTTTATTTGCTGTTTGTTTACTGGGTTTGCCAGGGTCCTTTTATTCTTTTAAACAAATTCACGACCAATTTACCTTCTAATTCAAGGAAAATAATTGCACACCAAAAATTGACACTGGCCATCAACGTGCACATCTCTCACTATTTTTCGCCCCGAGCCATTACAAGCCAAGGCAGGAGGCATTATGTTTGGCCATATGATTGTCAGTGCCTCTCACTCACGTGTACGCGATATCTCTAGGACGCCTTGAGGGAATAGCTTAGACACACACTCGCACTTATGGATAAACTGGTTAGAATTTGAGGGTCAAAGGTCAAGTGTGTGCGATCTCTCAAGGATAGATTGAAAAAAATCCTCCAAAATGTGGCCTAACAGTCCACATGGCCTCAAGGAAGAACTGATTAGATCATCAAACATATCAGTATGTAAACTGCAACTCGACAGGTTGGCGGAGGCATAAGATAAGAGATAAGATAAGATAAGATAAGATAGGACTTTATTTATCCCGAAGGAAATTGTTGTGCCAGAGTTACAAAAATACAATAAACACAGCAGCATGATAATAAAACTGTACACTAACAGTGCAGGAAACATAGACGGTCACATCATTAATGTAAATATTAACATTGCAAAAAAACGTAGTGGCAGATACGTAATTGCACGTTATTATAGAACATTATTAATAATAATAATATTGCACATGTTATATAGCAGAGAGTAACACTGGAAGGTGGTAATTGTAGTGTATGGGTTTGTTAACAGAAAGAGCTGCAGCTAAAATGATGATGTATCTTGGATAAGTTATGTCTCGAATGAAGATCGCACAACTTTAACATCTCTTTCTGGTGCTCAGGATTATCTGCATTCACTGGGGAAGGCTCGAACAGCCCAGGTTCAGAAGGACGCCCGCATTGGAGAGGCCAAGAACAAGAGAGATGCTGTGATCAGGGTGAGATATATCACGTCGCCCCCATCCCACAGGATATTGTTGTTCCTCTCAAAATGTAAATCAGGAGATAAACAGGGTTTATTTATATTGTGATGATCATCTTCTCTGTAGAAATCAGTTTTTAATCATTCCTAAGTCTGTTCTGCTCAGTTAACTGTCAACATTGTTGTTGTTGCTGCTTTTAGATTAGATTAGATTAGAATCTTTAATGACCACACAGAAGGGCTGTGCAATTAATCGTATTTTAATCTCGATTACGATTTTGGCTTGCAACGATTACGAAAACAACGTAATCGAAATAAAACGATTATTATTTTTATTTTTAAAAAAAATGTTATTTATTTTATTTTTTTGGTTTTTCAGTTGAATTATACTTAAAGTTCAGGGTAATCAACTGTTAAAAACATACTGTTCACATTTTTGTTTCAATAAATGGATGTTTTCAAAGTAAATGGATAATCGTTTTTAATAATCGTGATATCAATTATTGACCAAAATAATCGTGATTAGGATTTTTGCCATAATCGCACAGCCCTACCACACAGCCAGGCTGGTGGAATTCGTGTTCAGTGCAGATTATTACAGCTTGTTCCATACAATTCAACATACAATAAAAAGTACAACACACAGCACAGGGCAAAGACATACATCATGACATATATACATAAAGTTCAAGGTGTGGTGGATTGTGATTCTTCATTGGGGTTATTTAGAGTCCATTTAGTGTCCTTATTGCAAAGGGGAAGAAGCTGTTTTTGAAGCGGGTGGTTTTGGTGGACAGTGACCTGTAGCGCCTCCCTGAGGGCAGAAGTTGGAAGACATGGTGAGCTGGGTGGGAGGGGTCAGAAATGATTTTCTTTGCCCTTGTGACAGTTCGTTGGTGGTGAAGTGATTCGAGTGAGGGAAGGGGACTGCAGGTGATTTTTGATGCTTTATTGATGATACGTTGAAGTTTATTCCGGGAGTGGGGGTCTGAACTGCTGTACCAGACTGTGATGGATGATGTGAGGATGCTTTGGATGATGGCTGTGTAGAACTGGATTAAAAGATGTTTCCTCACTCTGTATTTCTTGAGCTGCCGCAAAAAGAATAGCCTTTGGTTGGCTTTTCTGTAGATGTGGTCTGCGTTGGTCTTCCATTTGAGGTTATTGCTTATGTGAGTGCCAAGAAATTTGAGTGAGTCTGTGGTGGAAATGAGTTTGCCGGAGATAGATAGAGGTGATTTGGGCTGTGGCTTTCGCCTGAAGTCAATGATTATTTCTTGGGTTTTTGCTGTGTTAAGTAGGAGGTTGTTTTCTGAGCACCAGATGACTGCTTGATGGATCTGAGTGAGGTATTGTGTTTCATTATTATTTGAGATGAGTCCTGTTATTGTTGCGTCATCTGCATATTTATATATGTTGACTGTGGGGTGCTGAGATGTGAGTTGGTTTGTGTAGAGTGAGAATAACCAGGGGGATAGGACACAGCCTTGTGGAGCTCCTGTACTGAGGTGCAGAGGGAGAGATGTGGAGTTGTTTATTTTGACCCGTTGTCTGTTCCAGAGGAAGCTGTGGATCCAGTGACAGATGCAGGGGTCAGTGTTCATGTCCATTAGTTTATTGAAGAGTTTTTCCGGGTTGATGGTGTTGAAAGGGGAGCTGAAGTCCAGGAACAAGATGCGGGCGTAGGTGTTGGGGGATTCCAGGTGTTGTAGAGTGTGATGGATTGCCAGGTTGACAGCGTCATCCACGGATCTGTTGGTTCTGTAAGCAAATTGATATGGGCCCATGAGGGGGGAGGTGCTGGTTTTTAGGTGCCTGGGCTATGGGTCTGTAGTCATCAGTGGCGGCGCCAGGGTATGGCTGGGGTAGGCTACAGCCATACCAAGAAATGGCTTAGCCCCACCATGAAAAATGATGTTAAAGTAAGCAAAATAAAGTCCGCCAACTCGTGCGGAGTAAATTGCACAGACGGCAAGATTGATTTCAGTAGCCACTTGTCTGGAAATACCGAAGACTAGAAACGGTTTTGAAAACTGTTGTCACGTAGTGATCGTCTTCCCAATAAAACATCTTTGATAATGTCTTCTGGCCAATCAGAATCACGATAACGGCGTGGTGTTGTTGCAGGAAGTCCCGACGGAGAATACTTTTGCTGTGGTACATCTCTATACATCGATACAACATTACGTGTTGATAGAAATCAACACGTAATGAAATAAGACCCCACGGTTTGATGATTGATAGGTGTGTGGGCTGTCTTTCATTTTGACACACAGAACAATGGGGGCTATCCACCCTTATCCACAATGTAAAGTCATTCACACAGCCTCTTCCCTCTTCTCTCTGTGAGGAGCAGCAGGTTCAGCTTTCAGAACAAAGTAACACAAAACTAAAATGGCATTCATTTTTTTAAATGTGTAGTAATAGATTAATTTTTTTTCTTCTCAAGAGAGTACCAGAATGTGTATTTGATGTTAGTATTTCAAAAAATCTCCAGGTCGCCCTTTTTATTTACTACAAGACAAATGTGCCTTTTTATTTCATACAGTTCAATTTGAATTGAGACAGGGAAATAATCTAAACCTCACGCGTGGCGTTTCACTGTCAAGGGGAGCGATATAGCGTGTATGTAATTACATTGCAAATACTGACTTGAGCCCCACCACTGTATGGGTTAGCCCTACCATAGATTACCCAACAAAAATACTCTGGAGCCGCCACTGGTAGTCATTGAGGCAGAATATTTTATTAGACTTGGGTACAGGGATGATAGTGGATTCCTTAAAACAGTGAGGAACTGAACACTGGCAGAGGGAGGAGTTGAAGATGTTGGTGAAAACAGGGGCCAGTTCTGCAGCACAGTGATGGAGTGCCGCAGGGCTGATGTTGTCTGGGCCTGCCGCCTTGTCTTTTAGCATTTTGATCCTGTATATATGATTCTCAAGAGTGATTACCGTTGATCCCTATTTTCCGCCTCCTTCCTCTGTTCCTGTTTCTCTCTGTGTCCCTGCAGGAGGCTCATGCGATGCAGGAGAAAGTCTCAGCTCAGTACAAGAATGAGATCGACATGGCAAAGGCTCAGAGGGACTATGAGCTGAAGAAGGCAACCTACGACCTGGAGGTGAACACTAAGAAGGCGGAGTCGGAGATGGCCTACCAGCTGCAGGTACACAGGAGGGATTCAAAAGAGTTTGTTCAGTGAAACCTGACCGGATTTCAAACTGTACGAAATACTACATGAATCATGTACGGTGTGTCTTCCAGGTCGCCAAGACCAAGCAGCGCATAGAGGAGGAGAAAATGCAGGTCCAGGTGGTGGAGCGCACGCAGCAGGTCATGCTGCAGGAGCAGGAGATCACCCGTAGGGAGAAGGAGCTGGAGGCCAAGGTGAAGAAACCTGCAGACGCTGAGCGGTACCGCCTGGAGAAGCTGGCTGTAGCTCAGCGGTGAGACTCCAGTTCACTAATAGCTGCTCTTCTGAAACTACAGTGAGGTGTTGTGAAGGGCAGGCGGCCTTTCAGTTTTAGTACTGAGATTTAACCCCCTGTGTTTTTGCAATCTCTGTTGTTGAAGGATTATGAAAGACTCTCCCAGGGGAAGGAATTCACACGTTCTTAAATGTTAAAAAAAATGCTGTGAAGTAAAACAATAATTGCCTTTTTAAAATGTAGTAAGGTATAACTGAATGATATGCAAACATTCTTTACAGTTGCAGAAATGATAAACACTCAAGTAAAAAACCTCAAAAAGGTACATTGAATAAATGTACTTACCAACACTGATTAAAAGAAGACGGGTGGAGTATTTTACAGCCACTGACAAATAGTTTTTAAGAAAACAAACCCAATTCACTACTGGCTGAACCATCTGTCTCTATATAACTCTACATTTCTCTCTTTGTCCAGTCTCAAGATGATCATGGAGGCGGAGGCTGAAGCCGAGTCCATCAGGGTGAGTCACAGATCTCTGCAGCTGAATCCATCTCCGCTCTTTTTCTAAATAGTTCAAAGTGGATATCATGTTGGGATGGGAGTTTCCCTTTGTGGTTCCCTAAGGTAGTACGTGCCTTGTCTCCTTCAGATGAAAGGTGAAGCCGAGGCGTTTGCGGTGGAGGCCAAAGGTCGCGCTCAGGCGGAGCAGATGGCCAAGAAAGCAGAGGCCTTCCAACAGTACAAGGATGGAGCCATGGTGGACATGCTGCTGGAGAAACTGCCTCTGGTGAGAGATGGCACCATAATGAAGATCCATAACAGCCATTTACACTTTGTATACAGTATACACCCTAATTTGAACGTTTTTGGTAAACATTTGGTAAGATCTGTGTCACCCACTAGATGGCAGAAGAGATCAGCCGGCCTCTGTGTGAAGCCAATAAGATCACCATGGTGTCCAGTGGGGGGGGGGAGGTGGGCGCAGCCAAACTGTCAGGAGAGGTGATGGACATCATGGTCCGCCTCCCCGCCGCTGTGGAGAAACTGACCGGAGTCAACATCTCCCAGGTAACACATCCATAACTTTTCTGACTCTGGTCTGCTGATACATGTCCTGTCTCGATGATGCAAGAATGTTTAAAAAAGCAGCATTCATTTATTTATTTGTATGATTATTATTATTATTATTATCATGGGTTGATTTAGGGCAGTGAGACCACAGAACTAGAATGAGAGTAGGACAGATATTACCATATTATACCATTCAAATCAACACAACAGGATAGTCTGGGCGATGGGCATTTTTATGTGAAGCGTTGCCATTGCAAATAACTTTTTCTTCCACATTTTATTCACAATTACTATAACAACATTTCCATCCTTTAGACTACACAGAGACCACATCAAAAAACATTTAAACAGACAATACAGAAATGTCACATAACAGAAAAGCAGAATAAAACATGAAATACTAATGTAACATAAATAAAGAATACAGATTAAAACCAACACGGGCAAGTCCTAGTGATGCTTTGTGTTAACAACTAAATTATGATCTTCTCTCATCGTATGACAAATTCATACGAATATTGTTGAGTTACTTTAACCAATGGTGCAAAAAAATACCAAACACACACATGTTGGCAACAACAATATATTAAATTAGTAAGGTTAAGTTATAATGCGTTGAGCATTTCTCTCCATTTATTAATATAAAGAAATGATACATGGAACTTAAAGAAAGATCTCCCTCGCTTGCCCTCTTCCTGCAGGTGACCTCAGGTACCGGCTGAAGAGAAACAGCAGTGTGGTGACCGGACAGATCCACTCCGGCTCTTTGCATGAGTCTGCTCACACTAACAGCCTCTCTCCTCTGCTCCCATTTAGTCTTCAGCTGTGATTCTGAGTTGTGAAAATATCATATTTGATCACCGATACGTGGCTCTATGTGATCTGAAGTACTGTGCTCCTCTGGCTACTGTCACTGTTGTTATCTCGGTTGTTATTTTTATATAGGCTACTGTTTTTTTTTAATTACATTTAGCATAATCACATGACATTCAAATTACAATTCTTCCACATACTTTATTTTAAAAACCCAGACTGTGACTTCATTTACTTTGACTTTACCAGACTTTTAAATGCTTAGGAACAACACCTTTAACAGAAGTGTCTTTGTATCCCATACTTTTTTCCATAACTGCCTGTCCACTGCCTTGCTGCCAAACCTTAAGTGCATCTTAACATGAGTTTGTAACACAAACACAGCTTCATTTCCTAATCCTTCTAACATGTCATAGTCTAATACTAGAACAAAACCACCGCCTGTGGTCATGGCCATCACTCATCCTCATCATGGGATTTGATTAGTGTAATCATTTTTGAAATGAGGTTTTTCAAGTTGTCATGGATGGTCTAAGCCAGGGGTATCAAACTCAAGGCCAGGGGGCCAAATCCGTCCCGCGACTTCATTTTATGTGGCCCCACAAGAGCTTGCAAAGAATATAATATGTTTATTATACGGTTACATGCTACTTTACCTTTTTCTCAGAATTAGATTTTTTTTTCAAAATGTCTCAATTTGGCTTTTCTTTTTAAATCATTTTGTGACATTCTTACTGAAGAGACTTGCAATTATTTGCCCTAGACTTCTGCTTTCAGACGTAGTTAATTATGAAGTTATTGCCCTATCCGATAATAATCCAATGCAGAGGCAATAATGTAATATAATACATTATTTTATATATATTTTTATATGTATTTTTATATAGTCTTAAAGTTACAACCGGCCCTTTGAGTGCAACCATAATGCTGATGTGGCCCGTGATGAAATTGAGTTTGACACCCCTGCTCTAAGCAAACAGGTAATCAAAATGATAATGCAATGTGTTAACCTGTATGCCATTACTACATACTTTCTTTATATCTGTCATTGATTTCTATTTTCTATTTATGTGTTCTCCATTCATACTAACGTCCACTTGCTGAATCAGTGTTAATATTTGTAATAGCCCCTTTGCTCAAAGCATACCAGTATTATAATTTAAAAAAAGCAGTGCAGCAGACCCATGCCACACATTTCTCTGTGACTTAAATTATTAGCAAAAGTTGGCATGTTCACAACCCACCCATATGTCCATCTCCCTTGACTTACTGTCCTATACTAAGCTCTTTAACATGTTACTAACTAATTGATAATTTTTTTAGATCTGTCATCAGAGCACTGCAATGGTCACTTTACAGCCCTTTCTACTAGATACTTATATTGTTGGCAAGCCTAGAAATGCAAATCTATTTACTTTTAACCTCACTGTAAGTCAGTCTATCTATACAACATACAGTACATACAATGTATGTAATATGATAAGAGAATGAAACTCTTAATTGATCAACTATAGGCATTATGATATGCTGAAAGTCCAACAGATCTTGGCTAAAACGGAAGCTAAAAAAACTTCAGACTTGTGGTTCAGGCTCCCTTGAAACTTGTACAATGTACTACTAAATGTATTGTATACCTAAAGGGAAGTGGGGCACCATTTGGGTTATTTGTGGCATTTATGTAGCAGCTCTCATAAAGATGTAGCTTGTGGAACAAGTGGGTAGCTTTAACCTTCAATTGTAGCAATGGGAATACCAGAGTTTCATTTTGAGGTAAATGTATGGAAATGCTAAACTGTAAAGTATTCGTGTTTATTTTTTAAGGATTACTGTTTACAGCTTGTACTTCAGGGGAAGGATTGCTCAGCTTTGGTCAGGAATGATTGTTGAAATAGATCAAATGAGAAGTTGATTTATTTTTCTTTATTTCACTGTATTCTGGTCAATCTTGCTGTATTGTGTACTGTATTGATTTGTTAACTTATTTATGATACAAAGTTAATACTAATCCAATCATTGTAAAACATTTAAAATGTCTTGCATTTTATAATAGTTATTTCATAAATAAAGTCACCCAGAATGATATGCGGGTAAAGGTTTAGGAGCTAGCTCTGAAGCGTTAGTTCTTAAAAAGTGCTCGAACTTGCCTTATTCCATAACTGTATCACACTGTCACCGGGCTGGGTGTTCAAAACATGTTTTATGTTGGAACTGTATTTTATAGATCTAGAAAAATAAATGCATGTCTAATTTATTTTGACAGCACTGAACCTATAATAGTATTTTTCCTCTATGAAAAACCAGCCTAAACACCTCACTATTTATCCATCTTTGGCCATGTGTGTTTCCTTCGAACTGCTGATTACAGCACAGCCAAATGTGTTGCAATGGCATTCTGAAAGTACATTCAATCTATTAAAAGAGGGATACTAGTGTTTTGATGCATAATTGTTACACTAACTGTAACTTTATCATATGCAAATGCATATGTTTTCAGTCAATACTGTGCGGCTTTAATGTGAAATTACCAAAGTAGAAGGAAATGTATTGGCTATAGAACTGTGATCTCTATTTTTGGGATGTTTTAATTGTAATGGTACTCTGTTGCACTTCATATAGATATTTATTCAGTCTATATTTGATATTGAATACAGTACTGTTTGCTTCACACGCCACCATTAACAACTGTAACTAAAGGCAGTGTTTTAAGGTAAATGTATTTTAGTTTTCTGTGTTATTTCAACTCACTGATTTGCACTTTGATGCTTTGTAATTACTGTCTGTGCACATGTTACAATCCTATACACAATAAAGTTTCTGTTCGTTAAAGGGAAACCAAACTGTGTTCTCTGCTATTCTGAAAACGGAACAATTACATTTTATATTACTAGTCTTTACTTATATTTGTACGTTTGATTTGTGCATGTGTTTGGCCGTATATGTGTTCCTGTTTTTATTTGTCATCAATGAGCATGTTTTGTTGTTTTTTAAATGTAACTGCATGTTTTTAGGGGACCCTATGAAGGAGTTATTAAATGCATGATGGAGAAAAGATTAACTAAATGTAATGTTGATTTAAGATGTCCGGTTACATTGACAATTTCTTGGAGCTTGAGTTTTCTACTGTTAGCAATGAGCTGCTCCATTAGAGCTACAGTGCCTTCTAAGGAGTAATTACCAATACATTGAGATGTGTTTTATGCTCAATAGCCATGGTGTCCAATCAAAGACAAACAATTCATTATTAATTGATAATCATAATACCGAATCCATACACTGAGAGGATAATTAATACACCGGACGTCTGCAGCTGTGTTAAGTTAGCTAGCTGAACTATTACAGGAAATGAGAGAGTTTTGTCTTTAAATTCAATCATAAATATTCTAAAAGAAAAGGCATTCATGCAAGGCCGGTTTTTGGCATAGGCGGTTTTTGGCATAGGCGGTCGCCTAAGGCGCCAGATCTGGGGGGGGCGCTGCGCTGGTAGTTCTGGGAGGGAAAAAAACATTTTTGACCGTTGGTGGTCTTCCTAATTTTCGGCCTTGATGTAACAACATTCATAATTAAGTCAAGGTAACACCCTTTTCACCCCGGTTACACTTTTCATTTGCCCTGTATGATGGGCGCTGTAAGTGATGAAAGTGGGGGATGTTGACTTATCAGGCGCCCGCAGCTCACAGCCAAAGTGCGAGCCTCCGAGCGAGTAAGAGAGAGAGAGAGGGCGCGCATCGGTACCGCGGACTGTTGTTGGATTGAGGCTGATAACTACAGCTCAATGAGGTAAAGGACTCTTGAGTGTTTAGATAGTTCATTTTAGTCTAAGTTATCTCAGTGGGTCTCAAACGGTTTGGTCACAATTTATGTAAACAAATATTTCCAAGGCACACCTTTATAATTATTGGGATAAATAAAAACAGGTTTGTAATTCTTCCAATGTATAGGCCTACTATAGGACAGTAAACCAAAAATATCGTTTAAAACTGGAGATATTAAAAAAAATGCATAAATAAATGTTAACTAGGTAAAATAAGATATAAATGAACAACAAAAATAAAATACGTTGCATTTATTTGTTATTGGCTATGGTAGGTTATTGGTTATTAAAATGTAAACCGATCTTTTTCATATGGGTGTTTAAAGTTGTACCCCCTAGATCAGGTCTCTAGTAATGGGCACTCAAAGTGCACGAGATTGAAGCATTTTACTTAAAAATGTTCAAAAAAATCTTTCCGGGGGGGCATACCCCCGGACCTAGAGGATGTGACGTTCACCCCCCAATTAAAAGATGTTCATACAATAATGAATACATTTGAAACCTTCTTTATGTATATAACCAACATGTCAATACGTTTCAATTTTTGTAGTGTTTTGGTCTTTTGTAGAGATTTTTCATTTATTCTTTATATATTCTATTGTGTATTCCTTGGAGGGGGTGGGACCAAATCATAGTCTCGCCTAGGGCACCAAAATGTCTAGAACCGGCCCTGCATTCATGTGCAAAAAGAAAGAAAAAAGTAAGTGGAACCAACACATTATATATGGAGAGTGTACTGCTGAATAGGAAGTCTATTAAATATAAATATATGAATTTACTCAAAAGAGTACAGTTTATGGTATGTTTTCATTAAAACGTCCACTTATAATAATAATATTGAAGCCAATTAATAATAATAAAAAGTAATTTTCAAAACAAACTATTCCTCAAATTACGAATTAGTATCTCAAATTAATGAGACATTTTCTTAACATTTAATTAGGATTTTCCAAGCCACTTATCATCTTGGCTTTTGGATAACGCAATGGTTGTTAATCATTATGGGTTTTATTTTTTAAAGTTGTGACCGGAAACGCCACTGTTTACATCGGATTGACTTGACACTGCTGAGGAGAGCTGGAGGGGAAAAAAAGGAAAAAAGCGAAGAAAAAAAGGCATATGTGAAGGGATTTGAGGGGCGGATTTGGACAAAGTTTCCCAACTGTCCCGACCCGAGGAGGCTCCGGGGGGGTTGCAGGGGAATCCATTTGACCGGTAATTAACACTGGAGTTATTAGTCGGCTGTTAATGAACTGTTATTTTCAGTGTGTCTGAGAGCGCCTTCGTCCCGACCGCCGGAAGTCTGCATGAAGCTGCGTCTCCTACACAGTCGACGGCGTTTTTTTTCACTCTTGGTTTTTTTTTTATTCGAGACTTTTTTTCTCTTTTTTTATTTTCTCTGAGCGAGATGAGCAGGGAGTGAGGAATGGAGGCGTAGAGAGGAAGAGTGTTTGTGTTTACTTAGCAGCAAGCTAGTTAAGCATATGATTATACAGGCCTCCTTGTTGCAAAGCAAGCCAGCGAACAAAAGCAGAACATTAATGGAGGCGAGTTAGCTAGCTCCCCTTGTCTTGTTGCGTTAACCAGCTAACGCCATGTTTGTTTATATCCCAGATAGCTCATTACGCCTTTGGCAGCTGGTTAGCTGCAGTGTGACTCATCTATGCTGGGTGCTTCGCAAAGGGTTCCCACGTTTAACCGTGTTATGACAAATTCGTATTTACATGATTTCCTCTATCACTGCTAACGCAAGCTAGCAGTTGTGTAGCCAGCTAGTGCCCCTCATCAAACATGGCTCTCAGAGCACTGAAACATTGACTTTGTATTACACTTATGATGTTATGTAACTTAACTACACCCTGTTGGAACTCATTTAATTTTCCTTAAAGCTTGCCATATTATTTATTTAAAGGTTGTGCATCTGGGGAGGGGAGAAAGGGCTCATGAAGACAACCTAAAACATGCATTGAGTTATGTTTTGCATGTATTATACTGTTACCTCAGGTGTTTCAGAGTTTATTTTATTAGTTTGTAACGTTATGTTAAAAGTGTAATTGTCATGGGCCTATGCTCCCTTCAATGTCCTAACAGATAAAAGTTATTGAAAAGTTATACATTTAAATATCAGTTCAGCTTTACTAACATGTTATTACACACTTGCTTTGCTTGGCATGTTGGCACAATGGCTATGCATGGCATTCACAATCTTCACCTGCATACAGAAAATCATACCTTGGAACTTCTTCTTTAACTATTGGTCTGTAACAGTAGCAAAGTATGTGGAAATAAAGTGCAAATGCATGCAAAAATAGAACAATGAAACTATGAAACTTCCTTCCTTGTGCTACAGAAAACATGTTGCCTATGTGTCAGTGGGAGATGATCGGGAAACAGAAGATCAGAGGTTTGATAATGAAAAGATAGACAGTAGTCTTTCAAACAGTCCGTTTTGTCTCAAAAAAACATGTGCACTCTTAGAAGGGATGGCACTTTCAACACATACTGTAAGAGCATCTAGTTTGGAAGAACAAGCCTCTCTGTTACCCTTTTCTGTCAATAAATGGTTATAACATTTTGGCACAGCATTGGGTTGCATTCCAAAACTAGACACATTAACACTGATGAAGCAACCACTCTAATATTGTGTTATGTGTTATTAGCAATGCAAACTGTGTAAGAAACTAGTGAGGAAGTGCATGGACTGTGTTGCAGAACATTATCAAAAACCTCAAAGACTGATTATTGTTAATTCTTTCTCAACTCTTGCCTCTTCTATCCTCCTGTAGATGTTTATTTTTTTTGTATATATCCATCCCCGCGCGGTTGAACATCTTTGCCTGATTCCTTTCACATCCTCTTCTCTGTTAACCTGATTAAATATTTCACAAAAGCAACACATCTAACAGCGTTATCCTAAAAGCATTTCCCTTTAACATTCAGTTGTGTAACAGCCATCTTACACGTTTAGCTGGGATCCCTATAAACAATAATTGCTTGCTGATTTAACAGCCACAACACAAATGTTTTATCTGATGACTAGTCCGAGTACTCCACACTGACCCTGAAACTTGTTCGGTGAGTCATCCAAAGAAGGAGAGGATTTATGAAAAGGAAACAAACCAAGATGATTGAAATGCAGCAATGCATGGTCTCGTTTCACGCGGAAAAAACAGAAGCATAGGTAGAAGGAGGAAGAGGAGGAGGACAGGTGTTTTCTAAGTGTGTTGCTTTTTAATTACAGAAATAATGGACGATTCCCATTTCAACTCATCATACTTTTGGTCTCCCGTCCACACTGTACAAGGACAGGTAGAGACAACCTTATTGTCCTGAAATACACATTATAGCATGGTGGTATGTGCTATCGAAAAACATACCCAGGAAGCAATTATGACATTTGTGGAAATTCTTTAAACATTACATGACACCAAACAATGATTTGACCCTGAACATTTAGTAAATAACACCACCTAATAAAGCTCGCCTAGTTGGTGAAGTTGGTTTAATCTCACACAAAAGTTGTTTGAATATTCTTGATATGTGAAGGGTTCACTTGATCACTCCTGTCCTCACCTCTTCATCCTCTCTTTGTTCCTTGTTTCGTTTACTTTTGGCATCTCACATTACCTTTGTTCAATCTTCTCTCCCATTGACTTCTTCTCCAAACTGTCTTCTCCACACATGGATCTAACTCATTATTATTTCCTCATTATCCACCTGCTCTGCTTCCTTCCCTTTTCTCATCTTTCTTTCGTTGTTCCACCATCACCCATTTTTGTTGTGGTACCTTTATTACCTCACCCGTTTTCCTTGCTATCTATATCACCTCCTTTTGCTACTGTTTTCCCATCCTCTTATCCTCCTCCATCCTTGTGTTTTCCCTTCCATCCCTTCCTCCTCCTCTTCTGTCCTTTCCCATGTCCATTTCATCTAATTTCATTATGCCTGACCTTCCGTCTTCATACACATGGCCCCTTCTTTTCCTCACCTCTTATCACTCCTCACCGGTCTTTGTCATCTCCCATGGCATGTAACTCTTCATTTTCCTACCTGTTCTTACTTCCTCACCCCTCCCACACTGCTTTACTTTCTTCCCATCCTCCTTTTCTACCTCTTACCCCCAACCCGCCCCTCTACTCATCCCTCTCTAGATCGAGAACGCCATGTTCCTGAACAAGGCGAAGGAGCAGCTGGGTCACGAGAAGGCCAATGCGTCCTCCTTCCAACACACTTCTGCCACCTCCACCTCCTCCCCCCACTACCCCACGGCGGTGCTTGCCATCCCGGGCTCAGTGGACGCAGGGTCCGGGGTGCGGTTGGTCCCCAAACAGGAAGGAGGTGGCGGAGCATTAGGGGGAGGTGGTGGCAGCCTTGGGATGAGTGCGCTGGGCGGACACCTGCACCAGGCACACACCCAGAACATCACCGTCATGCCTGTGTCCTCTACAGGAATCATGACTGCAGGTGAGTGGGCTGCACTTATTTACATTTCTGTATCCTCTCTTTATATTTGTTTGTTGGTATCACTTAAATAATGTGTTCATATGAGTCACTATGTATATTTAACTGCAGCTGCTAGAAATCTTTATGTGAACAGTTTTCTTTGTAATCTTAATGGTCTCTTCGTCTTCAATTAGGGCTAAATAATCGATATTGATATGGACTAGTAGAATTTTCAAATTCCAGTATGCGCCATATTAGTTAAAAGGCAAAATAAATTAAAATACCATTCCAAATTAAAGAGGCCCTATTATGCACATTTTCAAAGTTTCATATTTGTATTTTGTGCCTCTTCTTTGACATCTTTTCATGCTTTAATGTTCAAAAAGCTATTTATTTTTCTCATACTGCCTGTGCTGCAGCACCTCTTCTTACCCTCTGTCTGAAACCAGAGCCCAGTCTGCTCTGATTGGTTGTCTGGACAGCTCTGTGGTGATTAGTCAAATGCTTAGAGATGTCCCGCCCCTTAGCCTATCATGTCAGTGTTTGAGCGTTAGCCAATAGAAGGGCGAGTGTTCGTAATGATGTCAGTATGTGGCAAATAAAGGAGTCCAATGGAAGCGTGTCAGGCAGGGGTGGAGTGTTTGGGACAAAAACTCCCTTTGGAGGGAACTTAGGGATTTTAGCCTTTGCAGACCATTTACATGCACCAAAACCTTTATACCCAAAAATCACAACAGGGCCCCTTTAAAGGCATTATAGATTAAAATACCATTCTGTATTATGTATTGGGATTTAGCTTGAGACTCCCGGCATACAAATCATATTCTACAGATTTAAGAACAAATCTTTGTTTAGTACGGATACAAATTAAACCATGATCATTTTGACATATTTACAATGATAATTTCCTCTAATATTGCGAATCATATCGCAATTGCAACATCAGTCAAACCATTGCAATTAGTTATATTTTCCAAATCCTGCTGCCCTATACTACTTGACTCTTAGTATGAATGGTAACCTAATGTAAAATGTTTGTTTGGGAGGTGTGTGGCGCAGTGGGTTGTGCGTTGGTGTTCGGATCAGGGGGTCACAGGTTCAAACCCCACTGCAGTCAGCATGTCGTTGTGTCCCTGGGCAAGACACTTCACCCCAAATTGCTCCTGTGGGGATTGCCCACAGTATTGAGTATGTCATGTAATGTAATGTTTGGACCAATAACAACATCACCGTTTCTCTTCTCCTCTCAGCGGGGTTAGTGTTCACCACCCCTCAAGGCACCCTGGTCCCCACCTCCTCCACCCAGTCCTTTGTTGCCGGACACCCCACTGCCACCACCATGATCGTATCTGCATTGCACCAATCGAATGCAGGTAAAACGAGGCCGCAGTTCCTCGTCACTTCAGTCATTTGGTTAATGGTCATGTTTAATCAAACTGCAGTTAAAGGCTTACGAATTGATCGAGGAATATAGAAGCTTTTTCAGCAATGTCTTACAGTACAGTCCTCTCAGTAAAACTGGTAGCCAAAACCTGCCTACTGTAAACATTTTTGGCCACCATTTAGTGGAGCAAATGGGACTGACCAACAAGGGCACCATGACACAAACCGAAGATATTTCTTAATTTATTCCTGAGATTAGTTAGTTAGGCTAGAAACACAAACATCAACTTCCTGTTTTTGACCCACCATGCATTCCTTTCCTTTCTTTCTACACTTTTCTCTTGTTTCCAGACAAGAAGGAGGACATTGCTGCCCCCCCCGCGGTCGTCATGCAGATGCCATCAAAGCGAGGCAGAAAGAACAAACAGATGATGGGCAGAATGGCTGGAGTGGGGAGGGTCCTCCCTCCAGGAAGTGATGCATTAATATTGGCACACCTTGCAGCTGGAGGACAGGTGAATTGAATTATATCTTAATAATATTTTGTCTTTAGCAGTAACTGATTTTCTAGTTGATTGTCAGTGTTTGTGCCTTTTATCACAACTAACTGCTGTTATTGTGTTAGCACCACAATGCTGATCCATATGACCTGTCAAATGATGAGGACGAGCATACCAACAAAGATGGCCCTAAATCATACAGGTAATGGAAAAACAATGAGATTACAGAAAAGTATTATCGTTTGTGGCGTCACCAGCTTTTTATGCGCATTTAGAGCAGGTCATCTTTAATAACAGACATTATCGTCTGTATTTTTAAGCCTACACCCAACCCTGAATTAAACCTGCTTCCTTGTCTCTGTTACTGCTCACTTGTCCAGGTGTCGGATGTGTGCAGTGACGTTCTTCAGCAAGTCAGACATGCAGATCCACTCCAAGTCCCACACGGAGGCCAAGCCCCACAAGTGCCCCCACTGCTCCAAGTCGTTTGCCAACTCCAGCTACCTGTCCCAACACATCCGCATCCACAGCGGGGCCAAGCCCTACTCCTGCACCTACTGCCAGAAAACATTCAGGCAGCTCAGTCACCTCCAGCAGCACACACGGTACTGGACTGTGTGTGTGTGTGTGTGTGTGTGTGTGTGTGTGTGTGTGTGTGTGTGTGTGTGTGTGTGTGTGTGTGTGTGTGTGTGTGTGTGTGTGTGTGTGTGTGTGTGTGTGTGTGTGTGTGTGTGTGTGTGTGTGTGTGTACGCCTGTGCGTGTGTGTGTGTGTGTGTGTGTGTGTGTGTATGTGCGTGTGTGTGTGTGTGTGTGTGTGTGTGTGTGTGTGTGTGTGTGTGTGTGTGTGTGCGTGCCTGCTTTGCATGTGGTCTCTGTTGTTAAAGCATGTGTCAGTGTGGTCCTGTGTGTGGGGACTGATGAAGGAAAGGGTGGTGGGTTGGGAATGTGCCAGGGTCTTTTGGGAGAGTGTTGCCAGCGTAAAAAGCTCTACGCCTCTAAACGAGCAACACGTGTACCAACTCAAATGTAATAGCGGTTATTAGCTTGTTTTTTTACTTTATTTATCAATTAAGACCAATTCCTTTCTGTTAAGTGGTAATTGTCAGGACAGGACGCCAGCTTCGTCATTAATTGAACAGTTGCTTTGATCACTTACAAGTCAAATTTTATTTTATTTATTTATTCATTTATTTAACAGGGACAGTGCACATTAATTAACATTGCTGTAAATGTGCCAGAGTTAGCCAAGAGGCTATTTTTCGTCTGTAGTCCCTGGACAGATTTTACAAGTCAACCTAAAACACATTTCATTTGTGTCATTGCATAATACATACTGGGTGGATGCATGCTACACTGTTCTCTGGAGGAGGTTAACTTACAGTACCAGTTACCAGTGGTGGAAGAAGTACTCAGATTATTTATTATTACTGTAAAAGTAGCAATACTACAGTGTTAACTTAATATATATAATATAAATACTTTAAGTACCAAAAAGGAAAGTACTCATCATGCACAAGGACCTATTCAAACACAATATATTTCGTAATTATCCTGCTTATAGTTATTGATGTATTACTTTGTTCATCACTTGTTGCACTGGGTAAAAATGGGGTTTATTAAAAAATACTTTATATATACTGGGTAACTTAACCTATACTATTTTATAATAATGTATTAGTTGATTTTATTTTGTACTTAAAATCTAAATCTGAAAAGTAGCTAGTAACTAAATATGTACAAAAATGAAAAGTATTTGAGTAAAACTTACAACATTTGCCTCAAAAAGGGAGGAACCTTTTTACTGAAGTACAGTACTTGAATTGATGTACTTAGTTACATTTCACCACTGCCTGTTACTATTAAAAAATATCAGTTTGGTTTGGTAGTGTATGAATGCTGCCTTTTCTTAGCTATTATATTCTATCTGGATCCACCTTTGCTTTTACCATAATAATAAAAACAAATCCCTCTTTGTTTGAGGCACCTTATAAAGACCTTTCCCTGTCATTTATGCCCCTCGTAAAGTTAAAACATCCCAATTAAAAAAGGCAGTGAAAGTGCAATGTTAGCTAAAGTAACTCGAAGGAGATTAAAGGCACTGATTACGTTTTATAAATACAAGATAGAAAGAAAGATAGACATAGAAAGTCAGTCTATTTAAATAACAAGTGCATATTCTTTATTTGAAACAAAACACGTTCCTTATTACCTTTTTCATTCTTTTAATGGACTGCAGACAGCCTCTATGTTCCACACACCCTCGTGATCATATTTACAAAGCAGATAAAGCTGCTAATTCAACATTTAGATGGATTTGACTTGTATTACATGTTACTATCTGTGACCATGTAAGTGATGAAAGCACCCGCTCCCGTTCATGCTGTCATGACTCGTGATTTTGACATTACCTGCCTTATATTTTTATTTCCCTTATTGCGACGTTCTGGCTGTGTGGGTTTCAGGCCATTTTATTTTACATTTTAAACGGGAAGATGCGCTCCACTGGCCTGCCACACATCTTGCATTTGAATTTGGCAAACATTACATACTGTACACACACTCAAAGCAGGGCACACCGATGGAGAGAGAGAGAGAGAGAGGGAGAGGAAAGCGTGACTGTGCCTGCTGTATGTTTTTGTTCTGTGTTTTCACAACTCAGACACAGCACAAAGAGCACACTTTCTAATGATCTATGATCCACGCAATCGATATCACAATCTGTTAACTTTACAGCATGATTTGGTTAAACGTGAGCTTTGGTCATGCTGTAGCTAAAAAAAATCTCTCGCTTTTCTCTCTCTCTTTCTCTTCCTCACCCCTCCAACCCTGGTGTCCCGTGTTAGAAACCACACGGAGTCCAAGCCCCACAAGTGCCCCCACTGCTCCAAGTCGTTTGCCAACTCCAGCTACCTGTCCCAGCACATCCGCATCCACACCGGGGCCAAGCCCTACGCCTGCTCCTACTGCCAGAAAACATTCAGGCAGCTCAGTCACCTCCAGCAGCACACACGGTACTGGGGTGGGGGGGGGTTCAATGTCTGCTTGTGTATTTATGTGTGCATTTATGGGAGTAGGTGTGCAGAGAGTTGTGGCATTGTGGTTGTGTGCATCTTTTTGGCATTCTTTTGTGTGTTTCGCAGCATCTTATAGGGGAGGTATGCCTTGTTGTCAGGCGGGTTTGTCACAAAATAGTTGTTTTAATAAATAAAAGCATAGTAAGACATTAAGAGTGGTTTAAAAAGGTCACCGATCAGCTAAAGCAACGACCTGTCTTATGGTTATGTTGTTTTTTGGGTGGCTTTAGAATGTATATTTTTTATAAATGCCACAATTGCATGCCTGAAGATATGTTCTGCCACTTGTTGCCTGTTTGAAAAAGAGTCGTAAGGCAGGGTAGAGTGTGATAAAATAACATTGATGGGGTACAAATAACCACAAAAGTTCTCAAATCCTTAGACGTAATCATTTATAAAGCCACTCACCGAAAGAAGCTACCTTTTTGGGCAGTACGGAAAGGCAAGAGGTTCACTCTTACCTCCTTTTATAAAGTGCAGTGATAAAGTATTAGTTGTTTTGTAATCAACTAATGGTTTGCCTTACTGTTTTTTCAGGATTCACACCGGTGACCGACCGTACAAGTGTAACCATCCAGGCTGTGAAAAAGCTTTCACTCAGTTGTCCAACCTACAGGTAAATTAAATCACAGGTTTGATCCACGCTACTGATCTGGTCAAATGTCCCCTTGTAAGACCTTTTCTGTCTCTTTATTGGCTCCAAAAAGTTGAATGTCAACTTTATATTTAGGTTTCATTAAACAAAATAAATCTGTCTTTAAGGGGTTATAAATGTTTCCAGTGTAACCAAGATCAAGGTAAATATTGTTCTTGGCCCATCTTAAATGACATTTTCTACTGTTTGAATAATAAATGTTGAAAAACATCCTCAGATTGTAAAGCAGTGTATTTGAAAATAATCACGTATTCATTTTTCTAATGTGTATTCCTCTTCCCGCAGTCTCACCGTCGGCAGCACAACAAAGACAAGCCGTTTAAGTGCCACAACTGTAACCGTGGTTACACGGATGCGGCCAGCCTGGAGGTGCACCTGTCCACACACACAGTGAAGCACGCCAAGCTGTTCTCCTGCGGCCTCTGCAACCGATCCTACACCTCGGTGAGCTCTCGGACCTGTCAATCACACATCAGACGTTCAGTGGTTCACACAATGCACACACTCTGGCCTCAGTATGACAAAGAAAATACATCATTATTCAAGATTGATCGAAGATTGTCCTAGTAGGCACATTCATACAAAGACAGAGAAATGCACACATAATGTTTAGAAAAGCATTAAACAAATGGGTAAAATTAATGTAGTGACATTAGCAGCAGCATAAAATGGCCCGCTACATTAAGTGCTCTAGGTATATTAAAAACATCCGAATCAGAAAAAACCTTATTAGTTACACAGCGGAGACATTTCAATTCTTACAGCAAAGTAGACAGTTTAGATAAAAAGCTAAATAAATAATAGTCTAAGATGTTGAATTAGGGGGCAATCACGTTAATACAAAAAGTCAAATAAGTACCCATCCAAACTTGAAAAGATACAAGTCGCATTATACAGGTAAGTGAACAAATAAAATAAAATATGATGTAGCAGCCAGCAAATACATGAATTAAATGCAAATGAGTATATGCTGCACAGTGTTACATCACAGAAGTGTTTTTGCAGTCTAAAGTAGTGCAGTAGAATCCAGGAATAACAATATTTAATTGTACAAAAAGAAAAAATCCCTTTTTTGAACACTATATTGAACCTGATAAGTGTCATGCAGTGCTTTGCTTGTGATGTTAAGGAGGCACACAACTTCAGGACAGGTGCTGTCCTGGAACCTGGATATTCTGCTTTCAAGCCAAATATACTTTTTTTTTCAGAAGGAAGACAATTATAAAGAGTAAGAGGTGTCCTTTAAAACTTGAAGGCCCTTATTTTGCAGTCTACCCAAAGAGAGAGTTGACAGGAATCACAGGCTTGGAGGTGTGTAATAGCTATGCCGTCATGTCTTGTACTTTTCTCTCTCTCCAACTCCAGGAAACGTATCTAATGAAACACATGAGGAAGCACAACCCCGACCCGCTAACAGTGGCCGCGACATTAGCCGCTCAGCAGGCCCAGGGCCTCACACCGGGGGGGGGCAGGGGCCGGGGCCGTGGCCGAGGGAGAGGGGCTGGAGGTGCAGGCAGAGTGGGCCAGCTCCACAGCCAGAACCCCAACAGCCAGAACCCCAACCCTGGAGCACCAGGCAGCTACCAGCAGAGCCAGCAGAGCCAGCAGAGCCAGCAGAGCCAGCAGCCCCCCGAGGCTGTGGTCCAGTGCCCGTTCGACCTGCACCAGTACAAGACAGTGTCAGCCAGCGAGATCCAGTACAAACCGATCTCTGTGGCAGACCTGCCAGTGGCACACAAAGACCTCTGCCTCACCGTCTCCACCTCAGCCATACAAGTGGAGCACATGAACTCATAGGCCGAGTCTTCACACTTTGAGGAATTACTGATTGAGTCCGCAGTGTAAAAAGGTCGATATAAAAAACGTAATTTAATTCTATTCACTATTAAGTTCTTCTTTAACAGGAAAAATGGCTATCTTAAATCCCAATGCAATTTTTTCCTTCATTTTAAGAAGCTTTAATGCTGAGTAGAATAATAAATTACTTGTTAGAACACAGATATTTTACAATGTGCTTCTCGATTCCTGAGCCTACTTGTGCCAAGTATCTCTCAGTAGAAATGCTGGTGTTGGACACTAATATAAGCAGTTTATTATTTAGGCTAAAGCCACATTCCTTCAGTTTGTGATAACTTAACCAAAACCTAATCTGAGATCACGTTTGGCTTTTACATCATTATGAATGAAATGGTGATTAAAACCAGACCTGAATTTCTCTAAAGCATGTTTGATCTAATTTCAACGAGTCAATGGACTTTTGTAAAACACATCTAATACACTGATCCGAAACCAGCAGTCCTCTGAGGATTTTGATAAAAGAGGCTCACTGGTGTCGCTTCTCTTTTTGTATTGCATTGTTTGCAATAGGCACCATTGGAGGATGAAGATGTAAAATATCTGTACATTTAAAAATGACACTTCTCTCTGCACGTTTATGGTACAGGGAACGGCGTAATTTTGAGCACATTCAGATCACATTAATCTGAACATTCTGCATTATTTAGTTCAAGCCAAAACAAGGGAGAGAAACAAGACAAACAAAGAAAAAAGACTGTAAGGAAGGACTTAATGAATAAGTGTGGATGACTTATGAATGACACCTTTTACTGTACATCGAGGTTGGATCGGGAACGCTAAATTGGAACCAGAGAAAAGACCACAACAGAAGAGGGGCTGGAGAAGGAAGATGATGAGGTGTTTTATTGGATCAGCCTAAAACCTGGGGCTGAGTCTTGAAGTGTTCACTTCAGAAATCATGAGGGGGGGTTGAAGAACCATTTCCTTGTCTGAGCCCAAAGTATTGAACAAAAGAGACGGGCCGCTTAAGAATGCACTTAATATGAGAAATCTGCAACAAAGTGAGAGAAAAAACGGTTCTTGGTGGGGTGGGAGGGGTCAACGAGAAAGCACTTGATGAAGCTTGTACTTCATGTCTATGTTTGTCATTATTGTACTTTTTTTTATATATCATATGTATGTATTTTTCTACCAACAGAGAAACGTGTGAACAAACGCTGAGAGAAAGCATAGTGATGCATGAATGTGAAGGGAACAGAGAGAAATGTCCTAACGGAGTGTTTTTGTCCCATTATTTTCTTTTTGTTACCATTCAAAGAAAGTAGTAAAAAAAAAGGCCCGAACGCATCATAGTCAGTTGTTGGGGAAATAATGATTGTGTGATCAAAATGGCTGACAGGTACTGTTATCTTTTCTTTCTTTTTTAAAGAACTATTCATACATATTATTACTACTTTCATTATAACTATTTCAAATCTTATCCACATTATTATCAATCTGAGGCATTATGGTATTGCAGTATGCTGTACATTAAATAGATAGAAAATACTTTTTTCATCTGTAAAAGGGAAGTATGTCCTGTGTAAAGAATTTATGGAAACTAAAGGAACTCTTGTTAGCATGTGCCAAACCATTGGCTGCCTCGCAGGTCACATCGATCATAACTTCAAAAACCTGCCAAATAAAATAATTTCAAGGCCTGAGAAATTTGGGAATAATTTGAAAAGTTGATGACACTATCGGAAATCATTTGATCGAATTATGATGTGTTTGACGACGCAACATTTCCTGCATTTTAAGCCCTGCTCTCCGTTTGCACACGGTGATATTTATTCTAATAAGGATGTAACATAAAATGGTTTAACCAAATTAATATTAATGTGTAGCAATATAGACAAGATTATTGTGGAAACAACAACCTTGTTCACCAATGAGAATTCCTTCGAACTGAGGGTATAGTTTAATGACTAAATTATAGATCTGTGACCTGGGACACTGCTGCCATGTTTTTGTGCACAAGCTATCTCTACCCAATCAGAATGTTCAGGCAGCCTGTAACCGACTGCTTGTCTTCATGTATACTCCTTGTATTTCATTGTGACTTTTTATGAAAAATAACAGATTCTCAATATTCTTGTTAATGTTATTACTGATGCTCCTGATAATAGTACAGTTATTAACTGCCCTCTTATGCTACACTCTTGCATACTGTATGCACAAGTACACCTCTTGCTCATCTGAACAGACTGTTTCTTCTCTAAAGGAGAATAAAGTTCGAAAAACAGTTTATGATGAAAAAAACGCAATTGTCTTATTTCATTTTTCCAACTCCAGACTGTGTGCTACTGACAATAACGTATTATTATGTCATGCATTTTTGAATGTTTTGATCAAACATAAGTTCAAAGTGTCTGAAATATTTTATAATATCTCTATCTCAAACTGTGAACCACCAGCTTTGTCAAGGAATAATTAATTGAGTAAATGAGTCAGTTTTGCAGACACAATTAGTTTTGTTGTAAAAACATTCGAGCAGCCTTTGGGATTGATAATTATCAACACAATGTTGTATGTAGATCATCTGCTGAGACATTACAGGACAATCAATATGTATTTGAAAAACAGTGGAGTTAATGTGGGTAGATTACACATTAGGATCATAGACTGTATATATAAAGATTAGGATACATTTAATTTAAGATTCAATAAGAGATGTTTTACACTGCAGCTCTCCCCTATATGAAAGTACATAAGACGCTTTTCATTTAAAAAAGTATCGGTATCGGTACCCCTATTTTACAGTGAATTCAAATATGAAATGGCTAAAATATTGAATAGAATGTGATTTGTTTGATCTACATCAAGTCATCGAGTGGACTAGCCTTTACTGTGCAAACAGCGTATATCCCGCCCATGCGGGACACTCTGTACAGAGAACCAAGCATTTGGGCGGAGGCGGAGTTAACACTACTCAACCAATCACAGCAGCATCTCTGGAGCGCCCACCAAAACAGTTTGCTTTCAAATTCAAACCGCCCGGATACGTAGGATTGGGAACATCTTTGTTTCTGAAGTCAACTTTAGTCAGGTAAATATTTGTATTACTTAAAGGTATTTATTTCGTTCAAATGCTTTTAAAGGGTGTTACAAAGCACTGCTCACAAACTTTAAAAAATAACAAGGTTCCTGTACTTTGACGTAGCCATTTACTGTTTTATGCTCTTGCTAACAATAACAGCTAACGCTAACTGTTGACCAGTGATATCATAGACGTTGGTTAATTGGGTTTACATGGCTAACTATAATCCAGTCGAAACTCATTTAATATGTAATCGTTAGCTTACACTCTCCTAACGTTATATGACTCATATTAAGTTTCAGCCGACAGTGCCAGTTCTGAATGTAACGTAAACGCTGTAAACCATAAAGACAGAGTTAGCTTCTTGTACGTTAACTGTTAATAAATGCAGCATTTCCACTGCATGATACGGCATGGTTCTTAATCACGTTACTTAACTAAACCTGCTCTTTTTGGGGTAGCCATACGTAAAGTGTATAGTACCTGGTCATTTTGTATTCCTGGTACTGGGCTGATACGAGAAAACTCTGCAGATCACTGATTTGTCTAAAAGAGTTCTCATTTGCACTACATGGGACATCCTGCATGAAAAGCCATGCTATGGCAATCACACATACACCATTTAATCAACATGGTTTGAAGAGTCTTAGGGAGTTTGGAAATGTAAGAATAATAGTGGGTGTTGTTAGATCATCTCTATTCAAACAAGGTTGATGCTTAACGCTGCATATGCTACTCAAATAATAGGAACACTGGAGTTAAATTAGTGTGGCAAAGAAGTGTTGATACTTGCTTTTTCTTTCTTTCTGTGATTGTCTCTTTTGTTCATAATTGACCTCCTTACCCTCAACAGAACATGTCCCGCTTGCCAGTCATTTCACACAAGAGGGTCCTCGCGACCAGCTCCAACAGCTCCGAGAATGACCAAGACCTTGCACCGGCTCAGGTTTGTACGAAAAGCATCTAGTGTTTTTCTCATTGGCTTTACCTAATGTTATAGCTCAAAAAAGCTGATTCGTTGCTCTTGCGTTATCCTGGTCGTGTTTTGTGTTTATAGAAAAAGACTCGCAAGGACCCAGAGCCTGTCAAACCTTATGCAGCATCTACCATCATCGGTACCAGGCGGGCTCCAGTTGCACCAACCAAAGCACCTATTTGTAAGTTTCAAGATTAAACTTAGTTTTCACCAAGGTCAGAATGCACCAAGACTATGTGGGAACTAGATTGAGTCGATGTTGAGGGATTTTTTTTGTGCCAAATATATTGATATAGCTCTGTCCTATTATATCGAAATATAATCCTATCATTTCGTCCCCCACACAGCTCGGCCATTCAGACCAACGGGAGCTGCCACTGTGGCTGCCGCTCCTTCCAGAGGTGAGATGATTGCTTGGTAATGGAACAAAGTGCATAGGCATACTCTTTTATGTCAGGGTTGCTGGCCTTGTTTTACAGAACTGTACTGGAGCAGGGATTGAGCATTCAAGTTTGAGGTTATGTCTGATATAAAATATTAGACGACATTTAACAAGTTATCCATTGTTACTAACTTGTAGCAAGAACGTTCAGAAGTGCTTTAAGCAAAGGGTGTTGTTATTAAGTTAACAGATTCTGGTGTGAGATGAATTATTTTGACGTGATTTGTTATGCATTGTTCTCGTTCCATCAGGGGTCCTGAAACAATCTATTGCTTCAACCGCACCAAGGGGAGGCAACATTAAAGCAGCTGCTGCACCCACTGGCACAAAAGCAGGTGAGAGATCCCACCCAGATATCATCCACCATTTATTCTATTATTTACACTTCTGCTTTTCCTACCATGACATGTCAAGTTCCTATGTGATAGAGGTGAATGTTTAAAAAGCATGTTCTGTAGTGGGCTAGAATAAAATCTGGTGACTGTCACTCCTGTTGATGATTCGGTTGTGTATGCTTACAGTCACAGGCGGGGCCGCGGGCACAAAGCGTCAAGCATGGGACCTGAAGGGCAAGGTCACCGATATGGAGAGTAAGCTACGTAACTACCAGACCAAGGTCAAATCTGTCAACCAGGAGAATGAGGATTTGAAAAGCACGACGGTCAAAAGCCAAACAAGAGTGACTGATTTGGAGAAAAGTGTGGCGGTGCAGAGGAGCCAGATCAGGTACAAGGACCACTGCAGTCAAATATTTTACTTTCATCATAATGTGGTTTATAATTTGTCTTCTTTTTACACACCATTAAATGTCCTTCGCATTCTATGATTGTTTTTTTTCTTTAGTGAGTATGAGCAGGAGTTGCAGGCGTTGTCAGGAGTCCGGGAGGAGTTGGATAAAGTTTCCAGTGAGAAGAGTTCTCTTGAAAAGCAGCACTCCAACTTAGAGGGCAAATACAAGGTCATGGAGACTCTCCGGGACAGCCTGGAGACTCTCCGGGACAGCCAGGAGACAGAGCTGCAAACTCTCACGGTATACAGTCTGCTGCTGGAATAGCAGCTAGTACTGGCTGGGTGCTATCATTGCATAAATATGACCTTTTGCAGGTGCCCCATACCTAATAACACTAGGGCATACTCTACACCAGGGGTTCCCAACCTTTTTTCCCAAGAGCCCCCCCAAATGACTCCCCCCTCTCACACACACAAGGGGGGGGGGGGACAACAGCAGTAATTACAGTTTAAAAGTCTCAAAAATGCTACAACTACTGTCACAAACTGGATGAATGTGAAGTATTTTGTTAAAGGAGGATGAAAGCGTAATTAAGGAGCACTATTGGAGTGACTTTGATGGTTATTGGACTCAGGATTAATTAATTTGGATTCCCGCTGTATGAAGAAATTAAAGGACGGCGCAAGTGGAAACAATTCACAAAGGGATTAAACTGTTTAAAACACATGCTCAAAGTAAGCCGGATTTTGCCGATGTGTTTATGTGGATTCAAAAGTCGTAAATAATCTACAAAATGGAGGAGACCGATCTGATCGGACCAACTGTGACAAATAATCTGAAACCGGCATGGACAATGACTATGTTTTAAAAATGCGCTTATCCAGAAAAGCCTGGTTTGGACACTTTACGGGCAGAAGAAACATTTCTATTAAAGAAAGAATTATACATTTCTGTCTTTTTATGCCTATAATAGCTACTAATTTGAATTTTTATTCAAATTAATTAATCAATAATTTTTTATATTTTATTGTAGTGTAGAGACAAGGCTTTTAGTGACAATCATGTATTGCGTTACAATTATATGTAAAAATAAAAAAATAAAAGTCTAAAGATGATATTTGGCCTCAAATCATCTGAGGCCTGGCCCCCCCTGCTATCTTTGGCGCCTCCCAGGTTGGGAACCACTGCTCTACACAATAAGTTGTTCTATTATACAACTGGGCATTTAAAAACCTAAAGTTATAATCCATTCCAGAGGTTAGGATATTTAAAAAACCTAGAGGTTAAAATGGCCAGATTTTGGTATAGAATTGAACTAAGCAGTTATTTTGTCTTTCCTTCCTCTCCAGATGAAGCTTTCCATGCAGGAGTCGACTCTGTCCCGCCTGCAGCTGACCCTCAGAGACGCAGAGGAAGAGGTCCGTTCTCTGGGGGACACCATGGTCCAGCAGAAAGACGAGCTTCATGCTGGGGAGATGGAGCGCAGACAGCTCCACAACGCCATCCAGGAGCTCAAGGCAAGTAACAATGTGGTGTACCAGCTGAACACAACTCAATGACAGCACACTGAAAGGCCTTACAGTTAATGGCACTGTGATGCCCCTGTGGGTTCATCTGGAGAGGGTGTGGCTGTGCTGCATCCAGCCTCCTTGATTGCAGTAACTCATGGCACCTGGGTCTGGTGCCCTGCAGTTATTTAAAGCCTCTGCTCCTCTCTGTCTTCTCTCTGCTTCTCCCTGCAGGCACCCCGGTTTTGTTGAGTATCCTATGAGTTTCTTCAGTTGCTTCACTTTGTGCACTTCAACACTCTCACACTCATACATGTCCATACAATCCTCACCCTGCATTTACACTAATGATACCACTGACATCCACACCTCATACTTTACTTGTTTTGCACTTAATTAATTTGGTTGATTTTAATGTTTTGCTTAAATAAACATCTTTTGTTAAACGTGGATATGGTGTGTCTCCTCTTTGTTGTGGCCTTTTGAGCCAGGTCATAACCGGCACGTTCGGCTGTTTACTATTTATACTTTTCTTTGCATTTATTTTCGTACTTTGTTGTGTTGTAATCACTAAACAAAGCATTCTAACAATCAGACAAATGTTACTTTTCGCTCTGACCAATGAGACTAATATGTCCCTCATGCTTTGCCTGCAGGGTAATATCAGGGTCTTTTGCCGAGTGCGCCCCCTGACGGGCGGAGGCCTCAGCCAGCACCTTCAGCTGCCAGCCACTGACAACAAGACCATAACTCTGGCTAAAACTGAGGAGGTGAGAATCCTCTCAGAAAACCTTGCATTTAAAAAATAAAAATAAAGATATGTTTGTTAGTTACTCAATATAAAGAGAAATAATTTGGAAAAATGAACAAGTAAATGAAAAGTAGTAGTTATGGAACTTGTGTTTATTTTTTCCTAGTTTACTACAGTTGTTAGTATCATGCAGAGTTTCTGTGATATATTTTCTCTCTAACCAGCCAATAACAATGTAATAATTATTTCTTCTGTTTTTTAGTCTCACACAGGCAAAACTGCTGACACTCAGAAAAATTACAACTTCAATTTTGACAGGGTGTTTGGACCCCAGGCTTCACAAAAGGAGGTACAAAAAAAATCACAATTTACAATATATAAAAGCAGTGTTCAAGTTATCATGAATAAATACCAGATGTGATTTCAAATACTAATATTGTGTGGTGCTTTTGTCCATTTGTTTTCAGGTCTTTGACGAGATCTCTCTGCTGGTGCAGTCTGCGTTAGATGGCTACAACGTCTGCTGCTTCGCTTATGGCCAGACAGGAAGTGGAAAGACGTTCACCATGGAGGGAGCCGAGTATGATGAGGCCAGAGGCGTCATTCCCAGAGCCGTGACACAAATCTTCAGAGCAGCAGAGAAACTCGGAGCACAAGGCTGGGAGGTGAGTGTGATGTCATGCGAACATATATTTCCTACTACATATTAGGGATGCCAGCGATTATTCGATTATTCGATTATTCGTTACAGTCTCCATAATCGAATATTATTTTTAAAAATCGATTTTATTAATATATTTTTTTATTAATATTTATGTTTTTCTTTTTTTTCCTGGTTTGGTTTCAACCAAAATATAGACTAATGCTAATAATAGTAATAGTATTAATAATTGTAAATGACCATTGATCACACCACCAGTTTGTTTTACTGTAAACTTGGAGGAAGCCAGCAGCGCAGAGTGCAGACTGCTGCTGCAGCCTGACACACCGACCCCGCCCCGCCCCCTCCGTCGTGGAAGGAGGCGGTTTCCTTGAGTTTATGGCAAGCGTGGAACCAGATTACAGGGTCCCGGGCCGTACTCTTATCAACTGTCTCAAAGGTGTCGATAACCACCGACGGGTGGACGGCACTTACAACTAAATCCTATCTTACCATAACCTGCCATTATATCGATAGTGAATGGGAGATGAAGAGTGCGGTTAATTTAGCTGAGGGGCTCCGCAGTGCTCTGTGCCCTCGGAAAGGGTTTTTTCGGCGGCAGGACTAATCCTTAACCGGCTGCGCTCTCGCCTACACCCATACATACATACACATAAAGTAGGCTATTTATTTAATTTATTTCAATGATGCTATTATTAATACTGTTCTACCTGAAGAGCCCTTTTGTACCATGTACACGTTCCAGTAAAAGAAAACAACGGAATACCATTTGTCAGTGTTTTTTTTTTCCTCCTCCCGGGAGGGGGGAGGGGGAGGGGGGGTGGCGATTAATCGATTAATATTCGCCAGGGCTGTCCGATCTTCGATTTTGGTCATGGTCAGTTTCTGGCATCCCTACTACATATGCCGATTAGTCTTAAAGTAAACGGTGTTTAGTTCAATCAAACCATTTTAAACACACATTGAGAAATTATTATTTTAGATTTTCAGTCATTATGGTGCAAGATTATCATTCAGTTTGTCTCCTGTTTGCTGCTGAGCAGGTAATGTACAGTCACTTGATATAGCTTCTTCTCTGAGAAAAGTTGCCTGTGTTGATTCTCAAACTGCAACTATGAGAGCGCACCAAAGCAGTTAAAGTTCAGTTTGTACAGTTTAACACTGTAACGGGGGAGCTTAATCAAACACTATTTATCCACCTGGACTGTTTCAGTGCTCCAGGTACAAATGGATGTTTACTAAAGAAAGTCAATTCTGACATATTTAAAGGTCAACACAATGTCAAAAGGCAGATCCAAGCAATGCAAAAACAAGATAGCTTTTCCCTTTTGCGTCCCAAGTCCAAAGGTTTAGATTCCTGCTGCGTACAACTGTTGATACCAGCCAACAATACACACCTATTTGTACTCGGGGACTGTGGCATAGATAGAGTATGATTGAAACTGTAGGGAGATGCAGTATGATGAAGGAAAGTTCCCTTTTTAATTAAATGTTGTAATCATTCCTGTTTTATCTCAGTTCACCTTTACAGCGAGTTTTGTCGAAATTTACAATGAGACCCTCCGAGACCTCCTCTACACCGGCAAAGCCAGCAAGAGGCCCGAGCACGAAATACGGAAGTCCGTAAACAACGAGGTGATAATCACCAGCCTGACGTATGAGAAGGTCACCAACGAGGATCAGGTACGCCAGGCAGTTATCTAAGTTCATTTTCAGGTTAAAATGAGAATGAAAAAAGTATGATCGGTATTGCAATTAACTGCTTGCTCACCATGTCATCCGTGCAATTGTTAATTAATGGAAAATGATCTCTATCATCCCCTACTCCTGCCAGGTTCTCGGTCTGATCATGTTGGCCAATTGCAACCGCTCCACAGCCCAGACGGCCCAAAATGACCGCTCGTCTCGCTCCCATTCAGTCTTCCAGCTGGATATCGAGGGAGCCAATGTTGGCAGGGACGTCAAATGCAAGTGTGAGTATGAACCCACTCATTATGGCAGTAACCAATGTGTTTCACTTGTATATTTAAAATATCAAAACTGTAAATGAAGAAAGATGTCTGTTTGGAGGTCTAAAATTGCTGTTGTTCATCTCGTTTTGAAAAATCGGATATTAATGTATATTACATTTTGTTAAATGTTTCTTAAATAAAAAATGTAATGTGTTTGATTATGTGTGTGCAGCCACTCTGTGTCTGGTGGACTTGGCTGGCAGTGAGCGCTTGCTGAAGAGCCAGTCTCAGGGCGAGCGCTTCAAAGAGATGACGGCCATCAACAGCTCCCTGTCCAACCTGGGCATCGTCATCACGGCTCTGGCCAACAAGGTCTGTATGCAGGACTTCAGAGAGGCTGCGGTTTATCTTATGAGTCCGGTTTATTTAGACCAGGGCTCTCCAACACGTCGATGGCGAGCTACCGGTAGCTCGCGGGCAGCTTTTCAGTAGCTCGCCGCTCGATTATCGATTATAGTGTAGTAAGGTTGCTTATTGATTTTTCGGCCGCGGCTGAACAATAAGGTTTTTTTATTTTAGAATTTTTTTCTGTCACACGAATATCAAATCGGTCTGTGACGCAGAGATCAAGGAACAGACGTGACAGCAGCACAGCGACAACACACACGGAGCAGTCTGCTTTCTCCACCAGCACCAGTCCAGAACCAACAGTAGAATGACCCGCTCTGAATCAGGCCCTGTCGCTGCGGCTCAGAGACACACAGGGAGGGATTTGTGTTTTTTGAAAAACACTCGTTATCGTCATGTCAGGTTTTTGGTGGATTTAATCAAGTCTTGGATTGCAGAGTATGAATGTCCTCTTGCTATTTTCAGTTGATAAATACTTGTGTAAAGTTTGTGAAGGCAGGAGGAAAGCTTCCGCGATCACAGTCTCCTCTCCATTCCTCCAAACCCCGCCCCCTCCCTGAAAATAATGAGTGACAGGCTGATAGTGACCCGATAGAAACTTTATTATTCACTTAATCACTGATTGAGATATGATGAAGCTAACTTAATCTCATACATTCATGGGATTTATGTAACGGTAAGACAGAGAATGTAAGTATTTTTGTTTTTATAATGCTGTTGTAAATACTCCTGTTGTCTGCTGTGTTCAGACTCAAGTCCTGTGTGTGATGCCACATTCAAGACATTCACTGTCTTTTTTTTTTAACAGAAGACCGTTGCTAGAAGCTGCAGCTAGACTGCTGAAGCATTAGTTTTTTGTTTTTGAGGATGGAACAATTTCACACACAGATATAGGGAGGCTAGACCTATACAATTGATTTATTATGGTTTATAATTTAATATCAACACGAAGAAGAAGAAGAAGAAAAAGATGGCTGAACAACTGTTCAGTGTCAATCCTGTGGAGATATCCAAAATAATGTTCAGCTCAAAGGTAGGGTAGGTAAGTTTGAGAAACCGGCTCGAGATCGCTAGAATTTGAAAATACACAACCGGAGAAAATCTGCCACTTCCTTACAGAGCCCCTCCTCCAACACACACGAACGCGCACATGACCAATGAGGGCACGAGATAAGTTTGTGCACAGATGGAAGGCTGACAGGCAGGTAGGCCATCCAGTTATTTTAGCCGGGCCGGCTAAAATAATTGGTCGTGCTTTTTACAGTATTACGGCTTCCACAGATGACATTTTTTTATGGATTTTTTGTCAAAGCACTTAAGATATTCATTGCTATCGGGATGTTAAGAGCATTCCATGGAATATAACAAAAAGTGTATCTCGAGCCGGTTTCTCAAACTTACCTCCCCCACCTTTAAGTCTCAGCAAAACTCTCAACATTTCTGGAGCCTTGTAGACCCAGAAAACTATAAGAACATTCACCAAGCAGCACTGAAAATGTCTGCTTTATTTGGTTCTGTTCTACATACCTTTGTGAAGCAGCTTTTTCTGACATGAATGTCATGAAATCTAAATACAGAACAAGACTGACAGATGAACATTTAAATGACTCTATTAGAGTGAACCTAAGTGGGTACACTCCAGCATACACCTCTGGTGGACTCCATGCAGCGCCATTCATCTCACTAACTGTAAAAAATAGTGAAATGCTTGAAAGGTGGTGATTAAGGACATTTATGTGAATTTTCAGTGATGTACTTACTATGTGGGCCATAATAATATGTGAGAAATTGTCGTTTTCTTGGACCTTGATGTGAAGTTAAGATTTGTGATAAGCTTTAGGTATTGCAATTTCACACGTGTACAAAAGTATAACTTAATTCAACTGATGAGGGCTATGTGAATAAATGTAAGCGATGTGATGCAAGTAGCTCTTGGCCACTTACATTTTTTCAAAGTAGCTCTCAGATGAAGAAAGGTTGGAGACCCCTGATTTAGACCCTACATCTAAATTCTACCATTCAGTATCCATTCTGCCTGTGACAATAATTCATTCTGTTTGTGTTCCAGGACATTCACGTTCCATTCAGGAACTCCAAGCTGACGTACCTCCTGCAGGGCTGCTTGGGAGGGAACAGCAAAACGTGGGTTTTTCAACAGAATAGCTTCAAGTCCCCAGCTGTCTGGTCTTACTGTGTCTGTTTGGTTGTGTCACTCAAGCAGTAGACTTCTCTCTGCTATCACTTGTCAACAATTAGAGGTTTTTATCAAAATCATGAGCTAGCTTGGCTGAGCAGAATAATTATGACTTTATCATCTTTGGTAATGGTTTGCTGGTTTTAAAATCGGAAAGGAGTCCATTATGAGTTATTTTATTCTAACAATGTTTTTTGTATTTGTCTTTTTCTCATCTCAGCCTGATGTTTGTGAACATCGCCCCAGAGCTGGACAGCTTTGGGGAAACGCTCAACTCCCTGAGGTTTGCCAGCAAGGTGCGTGTCAAATATGGCTGGTTAATGTCTTAATGCACAACTTCACTATATTAATGATCTGATGTGTAACTAGATCAAATATATTTTTTAGGGTATGTAAGAAATGTTCCGAGGAACCTATGTTGTCTTATATGGTTTTGTCATCAGCATGTTCTCCAAGTTATTTGATAAGTGTTTGTTAAAGATAAATGAAAATACAGTAGTTCTTGAATAGACCAAAATGTATCGGAGCTTTATTTTTCAATTTTTTTGAAAGAAATCTTGTTTTAACAAAATTACTCTTGAAATTCATTTGTAACCATAAAAAGAAAAGGGAAACAAATGTGGAAATTAAAGTGAAGTTATTAAAAGAATAAATAAGTAAATAAAGAGAAATAATAATAAAAAAGTAAATAAAAATGGGGATATTTTACGTGAAATAAGTCAATAAAAGAGTGGGAATACAAAGACACCAAAATAAAAGCAAGTAAAGTATTGTAATATAAAGAGAGAAATGAACTAATTAAATAGGACAAATGTAAAAATCAAAAGGGATAACAACAAGGAAGAAAAGAGGATAAAATAAATACTTTATATATAAAAAGTATACAGGTAGTCTTTTGCAAAAAATGTAAATATCAGCAGAAATACATTTAAAAATAAAAACGCTTTTAGTTATTCTATATGGAGTTTTATTTGGCTGTCATTACTTCACATGGAACACTTATTATGTTACATTATAGATGTTTTATAATTGTGTCATAACTGCGACTGTGATTTTTGACATGTGATTTATTTTGTTGCGTTCTCTTTCTTCACAGGTGAACGACTGTGTCATTGGAACGGCAAGTGCCAACAGAAAATAGAGCAAAACGCTTTTTAAAAACAAGCTCTTGTCTTATTTTAACCATTATGTTCCCAGAAGGAAATGTTTATAATTGTTTTCTCTGCTTGACTTACACATTGTGCTGCTGGGCACACACTATAATCGCCATCAGTACAAACCAAATCTAGAATCCTTCTGTATATTCTCAGGGCTTTCTTTAGAGGTGCTCGAAGCAACCTTTTAAACATTTCTATAGTCCCATGTAAATTAAGTGGATGTTTTTAAAATGGTGTTTTTGATTTTCTTTTAAACAAGGGTTCTTAGGATCTCCAGTTGAGATATGTACCTTCATGGACTTAAATAACCTATATTATTTTTTTCCTGTTTATATGTGGAGCTTCTCTTATAACTTGCAAACATAAAAGTTTATTTTGTCAAACCAATACTGTCATTTTTGGTGACATTGTGGATTTCTATCTCTCACATGATCTAATAAAGACACTTAGTAGACGGGCTACCTTTTTATTTCCTGTGTGTGTTCATTCCAAACTAATCTTTGCAAATTGTTTCTCAAACATAAAGCATGTCAAGGCATTTTTCTCAACATAACTGAAACTATTTATCCAAACCTCCAGTGTTTTTGACCCTTTTAAATTACTTTGTTTTTACTGACTTTAGTATAATTGAACTATGACGTGGAGCTCCTCTTGCTAGTTGCCTTTTGGCTAGTGCTTACCAAACTCTGAATCACAAAATGAATAGGTTTAAGAGAAGTTTGTCATGACCAATGCCGTTTTTAGACTTCATATTAAAGTGGCAAGGATGGATGTTCACCACTTAACTGGAAAAGAAGATGCACTTTAGTTATTTAAATATTTTACGTTACATTATTTCTTGTATGTTTATCATTTGAACAGTAGATGGAAAAAATATGGAAATGAAATGTTTCATATTATACAGCATATTGGCATTGTGGGTATATTCATCACATTACAGTTTTTACTCACTATTTTAAATAATCTTTAGCTTTCTTCCATTACTGTTTTACACTTTAACGCTGTATTCCAATGTTTATTTTCCATTGTTTATTGGATGTATTTTCTGTCGGCCGAAGTCTGGCTCGTCTGTCTGGAATCCTTTTAAAGGGGACGCGTCGCTGTCTGTCTGCCGCTGCAGGAGAGCTCAGATGGGAAGAACATTTTATAAAAATGGTCCCCAAACTTCAGGGCCTGGATAAACCGGCAGGACACCCTGCCGTCCGCTCGGACAGAGACTGTACTTCTGAAGGCGGCAGTGTCGACTAGAAACGGTGAGTTTAATGTCCGCTGCGGCTCATGTTTTCTGTAGCCAGCCGCCTGCTAGCTAGCAGGCTAACGTCACATCTGTATGATAAGAGTGCAACTGTTAGTCTGCTGTCTGGAGACACAGCCAGCAGACTAACATTTCCACAGCAAAGCCAGCTTTCATTTCAGACCCGCAGCTCTTCTTCTGTAGCTTGTCCGTTACTAAAAAAGTGTGTTTTTTTTTTACTCCAGCTGTTGATTTTCCCCATGAACTAAAAATAACACAATAACAAAGTGGCGTGTGGGTCATGTATGTGATGTGGGCAGTTCCTGTTCAGTAATGAATCACGTGATGTGTTTTTGTTCTCTGACACTGTTGATCTGAGTTTTTTTATAATTGTCATTGTGTTCTCACAGTGCAATCAGTTCAAATCTACAATGGTGCAGCCTGATTTAACCCACACATGACATTGCATGCCATACAATACAAATGCATATATAACTAAGCTGCTAATAAACACAATGTGCAGCATGTCTTTGTGCAGCAGAGGCTTGCTGCACAAAGACACTCTGTTTCTGAGCTCTAACAAAGACACTTCAAATTGACGTTAGGGCTGCACTTCTTCTGTCTCAAGTAGGACTAATTTGCAGTGTATTCTGGGTAAATGATGAGGCTTCCTTGATTGGCCACTGTCTACTCTGCATTTACAATCTCTGCTGCAAATGATGTGATTAAGGATGACACTCTTAACTGCAGAACTAATCTGGGAGTCCTTTTACTGTTTGAGAATTAGTCAGGTTGAGAAATAATGCTGAGTTTTAGATAATAAACTGAATGTGGGCATTTTGAGCAATCAATTTGAAGGTTGATTGTTAGTATTTAAGTGTTTAGATTAGGATTACTGCCTTATGTTTGCTCAAAAGGGCAACTTCTGTACTTGTTGACTTTACCAATGGGCTTGTATCTGAGTGTTAAAGTAAGTAAATACTTTGTTACTAATAGGTGGGTTTAACCGACCACCAGTTGCAAGCTACATTAGTGCACTGTAATTCAACAGTTGTGACATCTATAACGATTTGTAGAATGTTGTTAATTCAATTTAAGTCATTTTAGAATATACAGATTGTGGAAGTGTTGAATAATTTGCATTATTTATACTGTTGTTTCTTTTTGTCCACTCCAATATTTCAAGGAGAAAGTAGTATTAAAAGACTTGAATATGCAATTTATTTAACAGCACCAGAAACTAGTTTAACAACAAGCAGTGGATTGACCGAACATTAATCAGCAGTTATTGAAGATTAATTCATTATATGTTTCGATTCATTTTTGATATGTTTTGAGTCATTTTCTAGTCATGTTTTACATCATTTTATACTAAATACTTTTATGTTTTGGACTGTCAGTCCGACAAAACAAGACATTGTTACAAGATGTTCCTTTCATCTGCATGAAACTAAGTCAGACATTTTTATGTTTTCAGATTTTATATAGAATAAACTATTACTAGATCGATCAAACACTAAGGAAAATTATTATTATCATATTCATTATTTTAATAAATATTGAACATTCTCACTGTAATGAATGCAGATTTTATTGTAGGATTGTTTTTTCTTCATATCACACTAGTTCAATTCAAAACTACCAAATAAATTGTGAGTATCTCGCTTTATCAATTCTGTTGTTAAATGAAAATGGGTTGAGAATGGCAGTCTTATGACATTTACACAGGTTATTCACACATGTCTGGATTTTTAGAAAGTCCTCGGATCAATTTGACACCTTTTTAATCTCACATCCTGACATCAAGCCTATATTATTATCAAGATAATAGTATAAACTGTAAAAAAAAAAAAAAAGGAAACAATCAAACCAAATCCCAAAAATAAGTTTAAACTGGCAGTCATGACTGTTCCTGCCCCCCAGATGCAGTCCCTGCCCGTGGAGGTGGGCAGCAGCAGCAGCTCCGCCCCCAGAGACACATTTGGCCCGGTGGTGCAGGTGTGCTTCCCCAGCGCTCAGGGCTCGGTGCTGGGCAGCCTGAACCAGCAGAGAGAGGACGGCCAGCTCTGTGACCTCTCCATCCACGTCCAGGGTCACGTGTTCAAAGCCCACCGTTGCGTGCTGGCCGCCTCCTCACCATACTTCCACGATCAGGTGGGAGATTAAGCTGCTGATGATTTCTGGTCAGAATAAACACATCAAAGCTACATGGAGTCATACTCATTCATTTCTGATCTGCACCATGTAGGAAATGTGCCAAATAATGAGATTCAAAGGCATGCATCCTCCCTGTTTTTAAGCATGTATACATACTGGTAGTTTGGTTTAGCCTGATTTAGCATACAAGGATTCAAAGAAAATGGATATGACTAATGATTCAAAGGGAAATATTTGACTTGATTAGTCTTTTTGGATACACTTTTATAACAGGACATGCTGCTCAAAAACTTTACATTTAAAAAAACAATTAAAGGAACAGACACTTAATTAAATAGAATGCCGGTTAAGATGAAATGCTTAAAGTTGCCAAGAACGCAATAATTAATGATTAAAAAAATGGTAATTCAGAAACAGCCTGAAGAACTCCATGTGATGCATGCACATTGAAAGTAGTGGCGCAAGACACATTTGACATTAAAGAGATTTGTTTTGTAAAGCCATATGGGCCATACTCTAATGGCACATTTCCACTACACGGTCGGCCTCGGCCACGCTCGGTACGGCTCGGTACGGCTTGGCCTTAACAGGGCCGACTCACTTCATGCTGCGCTTCCATTACAGTTTAGGAACTGGGGTAGTTACTATAGTAACGCAGTGTAGGCGGAGCCGTGACGTCATCTTCAATGAGAACTCCAGAAACACAACACAGCCGTTAGCTGTTAGCACTCAGAGCTCACAGCTCACAGCTCCTTATATATGTTCAGAAACTCGACAAAAGTTAAACAAGTACAAACCACAGACTGCCTGTGTCATGGTGAATACAGTCGCTGCTTTATTTATGTCTGTATAGGCCGTTGTTGTGAGTGTGGACGGTCGGAGCATATACTGCGTTAGCTTAGCCAATCTCCATCTAGAAAAACACGCATTTTAAAAGGTTTTTCGCCTGCCGTCTGTCTGCAGACTTGACAAAGCATTAATTCATGGTTTTTACTAACCGGTATCAGTATGTTGTTACTTCGGCATCATTTTGAAACGTGTATTACAATTAAATCACGGTCAAATATGTCCATCTTGTTGTAGTTGTAGCCCCCTTGCAGCGCTCCTCTCTCTAGTTTAGCATACTCAGCCCGACTCAGCCCTGTTTGTTGGCCTCGATAGAACCACAATTTTCTCGGGCCAGAAAAGACGTGAAAAAGTGGCCCCGGGCCGGGCCGGAACTAGGCCTAGTGGAAGCGCAACCAAAAACGGGAACGGCACGACACGGCACGCTTAAAGCGAGCTCCGCGCTGTAGTGGAACTGCGCCATAATAGAGCCTGCTATATGTGGTTGTGGCTTTTCTAAAGTTGAAAGCATAGCTGAAAATCATGTTCTCCTGATTATATAAATAATATAAATTAGAAAGGATTCATTTCCCATCACGATAACTCTAAAAAGAAGAAATTGGAGAAGTGAGCTGTTGGAGGAGGTGTGGGAGAGGCAGGACAAACCCTACACCAATTAATTAAAGTGACCTATCATCCTCATTGCCAGGTTCATATTTGTATTTAGTCTCTACTGGGACATGTCTCCATGCTTTAATGTTCAAAAAGCTCTTTATTTTTCTCCTACTGCCTGTGCTGCAGCACCTCTTTTCACCCTCTGTCTGAAACCAGAGCCCAGTCTGCTCTGATTGGTTAGCTGGCTGGCTCTGTTGTGATTGGTCAACCGCTTAGAGATGCCCCTTAGCCTATCACGTAAAATGTGTTGGAGTGCTAGCCAATAGAACTGGATGTTACATATTGATGTAATTATGTAACGGAAGTAAACAAAGAAGTCCAATGGAGGTGTTTCAAGCAGTTCTTTAGGATTTTAGTCTTTGCAGATCATTTACATTCACAAATACCTAGATAACGCACTTCAGGAAAGGGAAACCCAAAAAAGCACAATGGGGCCCCTTTAAAGTATTGTGATGTATCCCCCCCACCACCAGGTGCTCCTGAAGAACATGTCCACAGTCTCCATCCCGGCAGTGATGGACCCGCTGGCATTTGAGAGCGTTCTGAGCTGCGCCTACACCGGGCAGCTCCGCATGCTGCGCGACGACATCGTCAACTACCTGACGGTGGGCAGCGTCCTGCAGATGTGGCACATCGTGGACAAATGCACCGAGCTGCTGAGGGAGGGCCGGGCAGCAGCGGGCGGAGGGGGAGGAGGGGGTGCAGGAGGAGGAGGAGGAGGAGGTGTGCAGGACAGGGTCAGTGTTGGAGGAGGAGGTGGAGGGTCCGCTAACCTCGGATGCAGCAGCAGCAATGGTGAGGGTATGGCAGGAGGGAGTAACAGAGCTGGTAGTGACGGAGTCCCCCAGGTGGTAGGGTCCAACGAGCCGCAGCGTGCCTCCCTCCCCCCCAGCCGCCCGTCAGTGAGTGAGAGTCAGTCCCCCAGCAGCACCAACTACTTCAGCCCCAGAGACGGGGGCGGGGCAGCCGCAGCCGGGGCCTCAGCTGACCGAGGCGGGGCCAGCAACACCCCCAGCTACTGCACCCCATCAGGAGGAGAGGAAGCCTTCCTTATTGAGGAAGAGGAGGATGACTTAGAGGAGGAAGAGGAGGAGGTGATGTACCACCAAAGGAAGAGAGGAAGAGGAGGAGGCAGCGGGAGGAGGAAGAAGATGAGCTCAGTGTCGGAGCAGGAGGTCGGGGTCAGTGACAGCTTTGGCGTGTCTTCCTATCAGGTGAGGCACCTTGAAGTTTATCTGGAAAGCTCTTATTTTGGAAAAAAAGGAAGTCATATTTTCAGTCTTCAGCAGTTTAAAAAAAATGGACTTAATAATAATAATAATACATTTTATTTGGGGGGCGCCTTTCATAGGACTTAACTTTTAAAGGTCCCCTATACTCTTTTTCAACAATATTATAGGTCTCATACAAAACATGTCTCTGAAGTGTTTGCCTCGATACAGATCATGCATCGTAGCATGCCCCTCTGTTTCAACCCTGTTTCAAAAGTGCTGATTCTGTATCTGTTGCTTTAAATGCTAATGAGCTGCTGCTGGACACGCCCCTTTGGACAGTGATTGGTTAAAAAAAATACATTGGTGCTCTAGGAGGAGATTCAGGTGATAAGGTGGGCGGGTGTTACCGTTTGGTTATTGGCTAATGGTTGCCCAATACAAAAAAACAGTTGTGATGTCACTACGTGGCCAAACCTGATTAGCTCATTTTCAGACAGGTTTTATAAACAGGTGTATCAGGAAAAAAAGAGACAATCTTTTTTCCTGACACTAAGCGAATCCCTTAACACACTGGGGGGACATTTTTGTGAATAAAAGACATAAAAAAGTAATAAGGTGACCTTTAACGTCAACCGTTGATGTTGATAAACAGTATTTTCATCTTTGTTGAACAGATGCATACGGTTTGTTTTGGACCCACAGTCATGGAGCAATATCTAAAGAGGAACATGGTTTTATTTTAATGAGCATGTTTTATTGTCCCATTTAAATATTTTTTTTAAAAGATGGTATCTAGAAAATATCGTATATAGAAAGACCTAATGTATTTTTTAAATAATTTTGATGTTAATTGTACTATTGCAAAAATGATTTAAGGGCCATCGGGAGCTCTCCTTTTAATATTGGTCTTAACCAAATGTAGCATTGTTATTTATAATTATTCAAATGGGATTAGAGTCCTTTTAAAAACGAAAACTGTTCTATGAAACACTTTTGGAAGACTCAAAGATCCATGGTAGTCAAGCTTCTTTTCCCTCATCCTTTTGATTGTAAATTATAATAATGCAAGGTTTTCATTGACAACATGACTAGCTTTCTATAACAAGCATTATCTCTGACAGGACGGGGATCACCTGCTGAGGCGTCCTGCCTACAGCCAGCCCAGCATCATGCCTCGCAAACAGTGGGTGGTGGTGAAGACCGAACGCATGGAGGACGACGACCTCATCGTGGTGTCCGGGGAGGAGGGGGGAGAAGACGAGGAGGACGAGGAGGAGAGGGAGATGGAGCTGGCCCGAGAGAGGGAGAGAGGCAACTTCAACATCTCCAACGTTAGGAGCCTTTCAGCCGACCTGCCAGCCAGAGCAGAGAGCGACATGGACTCACAGGTGAGCTGAAGTCACTCTAAAGCAGGGGTGTCCAACTCAAGGCCTGCGACTTCATTTTCTGTGGCCCCACAAGAGCTTGCAAATAATATAATATGTTTGTTATACGGTTACATGGCGATTTACAGAAGCACGTTGCCCATACATGGAGCACAATGCATCTCAAATTTGACTTTTTTTCTTCTAAATATGCCTTTTTTTCTCAGAATTTGCCCTTTTCTCAGAATTGACTATTTTTTCCAAATGTTACTTTTTTTTTCCAAATGTCTTTTAAAATCATTTTGTGACATTCTCATTGAAGAGACGTGCAATTATTTGCCCTAGACTTCTGCTTTCAGACCGAGTTAATTATGAAGTTATACCCTATCCGATAATAATCCAATGCAGAGGCAATGATGTAATATAATACATTATTTTAAATATTTATATATGTATTTTTATATAGTCTTAAAGTTACAACCGGCCCTTTGAGTGCAACCATAATGCGAATGTGGCCCGTGATGAAATTGAGTTTGACGCCCCTGCTCTAAAGGCACATCGTGAAGAGATTTATGAAGTGATTCCATTTGTATTTGTAAAAAAATTGTTTGGGGGTTCATTTGCCACCATTAAGGGGCGCCAACGTTTCAAATTGCACACAAAGAGGTTAAAACAGCTTCTCTCTGCATCTGAACTTCATTTTTTATAAACCTTTATGGATAAATGCAGCATATAAGACTTGCCCTGCACTGAGTGTCCAACATGCAAGTGTTAGAGAAGTCTTTTAAACACTGGAGAGTCTAAGTTTGAAACATGCAAAATCGAAGCATTTAGACAGGTTCAACTCCCCGTTCTCCTTGTGTCCCCAGGTGGACTACTGCCAGTCTTCAGAGGACTACCTCAAGTTTGAAGGCAGTTTAATGGACCAGACTCTGGCTCAGCACCTCCATGACAGCGCGGCGGGTCAGAGCCAGAGCGCTAACCGAGCCGTGTCGGCGCTGCTGGGCCAGGTCCAGTCTGCAGCCTCGGCCCGGGCCCAGCTCTTCCCCCTGGACATGCAGGGGAACCAGATCCTCCTCTACAGCCAGGCCTCCGGGCACTCTCTGGACGGGGCCCCCCCTCCCCTGGGGATGGCAGGCGGTATGATGGGAGGAGCCTCTTTCAAAGGGCCCAGTCTGGAGCACGGCGCAGTCCATTTGTCAGTGCAAGGCGGCCTAGGAGTCGATGGCATGGACTGTGGGGGGATGGGAGGTGGAGGTGGCGGCAGTAACAGCACCGCTGGGGGTTCTGGGAAAGTGTTTATGTGCCACTGCGGTAAGACCTTCACCCACAAGAGCATGAGGGACCGCCACATCAACATGCACCTGGACCTGAGGCCCTTCCACTGCCCCGTCTGTGCCAAGAAGTTCAAGATGAAGCATCACCTGACGGAGCACATGAAGACGCACACGGGCCTCAAGCCGTACGACTGCCTCGGCTGCGGAAAGAAGTTCATGTGGCGCGACAGCTTCATGAGGCACCGCTCACACTGCGAGAGGCGCGGCGGGGCGGGGGAGGGCGGCGAGGGAGGGAGAAGAGGGGGAGGGGAGGATGGGCACGATCTGATGTCCTCTCCTCACCTCCTCCTGTCTGCAGGTGAGGGAGGACAGGGCGGGGTTCTGGGAGGAGGGGGAGGGAGAGGAGGCGTGTCGGTTTCTTCTCAGCATTTTTCCAACAGTGTTCTGTCGCCAGCAACAGGAAGCAGCAGCAACGGTGTGAACAACATGGCCGCCCCGGGGGCACTGCTAGGGGTCTCCCAGAGTCAGGGCGCAGGGATGTTTGCCGCTCTAGGGTTGGGTCGAGGTGTGTGTGAAGAGGACGTGTGTGAAGTCAGTGCTAATGATAGCAGCGTGACCTAAACCAGAAGTGTGTTAGGTCCGACGGGAGCCTCTTTGTCAGGTTTCTTGTTCCTGCTGCTGTTTTTAAATGATAGAAAATACACTTTTAACTGCCAACACCCAGTATTTCAAACAGGAAGTGGGTATTTGGTCAGGTGTTGGCAAAGAATCGAGGCTCCTGTTGGACACAGGCTGAAGAACCTGAACATATTTGTGGAAAATTGGGACTCTGGATGCTAGTCAACTGCCGAGATGTTTGTGAAACAGATCTGCGGTTGTGCCATCACAAGATATCTGATTATTTTAGAATACTTCCTCCTAATAGTAACCTCATTAAAGAAGGACCTTTGACTCAGTGAGTAAGCTATTGTTTCAAAAATCCCAGAAGTTTATTTTTTGGAAGAATGCTTTGCGTGTTGAGTGGAAACCAAAAATGAAGAGACAGTGCTTCACTAGCTATCAGTAGAGTAAAAACAAATGGCTGTTCTAATCTGCTGTTCTGCAGTGACGTGTTATAAGGAATCACAGTCACATGATTGTATTCAAACAAGCCTACAGGAGAAAACACTCTGCACAAAAGAAAAGAAGTGCTAAAGTGCAGATATGTTTCTCCTCGGTACATTACTCCTCAGTTTCCCATGCAACAACCTGTCAGCACTGCCATGTTGTTTTGAGACTCTACGGTGCTGCTTTACCTGAAGCCCAGACTGGGTTACAGTGAAAGGAACAATCTAGTTTCCTCATCACAAGGGAACACTGTTTGTCTTTCAGCTGCTTATTTATCAACCTGTACAGCCTGAAAGCTAAAGTCCACGATTACTTTTTTTTTTTAGACTGAATGTTACGTAGTTAAAGTAGCAAATGAAAAGAAAAGATCTGTTTTTAACACAAACACTACCTGTACCTGATGAGTTCAACACTTGCCCTGTGGAGATTTAAAAGCAGGAGGAAGTTGAATTTATCATTGCTTTGACTTTTGCTGTTGTTCACTTTCTAGTTCTCATGCTTTGTGAGATATATTATTACTGTAAAAATGTAGAAATATATGTCATCAGACAAATGCTAACTTGTAGTACTGGTGCGTTTTGCTGCAGTGTGGTTTGCTTTAGAAGTGAGTTAGCTGTAGAGAAAGGGTTCTGCACTGCCTAAAAACATTATCTTAACCCACAGTGCGTCTCTCTGATAATTCAACGAGGAGTATTTGAAGCTAGCAGCGGTAGATGGTGGTCTTATTTAAGCTATACAGTGTATAGTGTGTTTACAAGCGTACCTCCTCTGAATGGCTGACAGAACAGAAGTGATGGAGCCACATTAAAAAAGGAAGCCTTCTTTCCTCAGTAGCTGTAAGGCATACAAAGAAGTCAAATAGCTAGTTTTCTCTCATTAGATTTAATTTATTTGACTGTAGATTTTTTTTTTTTGCGATATCTTTAACAGTATAGTAGAGTAGTGCAGGTTGACGTTGACTTTTTATTGATCAGAGGTCAGCAGTTCCCCTCTGGTCGTATTTATAAGCACTGATTTTGGTTTTGGTCCATCTGATTTAAAGATGGGTTTGATTCACATAAAACACATTTTCCAGATGAATATATTAATTTCAGGTAATGTTTGATTTCACTTTGGTGAAGTACCTACAGAACACTTTTATTCCAGGAACATGCTCAAAAATATATAACTAGTCAAACATGCTGAATATTCTATTTAATTGTTCGCAATAAAAAAAAAAAAATTGAGTGACATATTAAATGGAATTACAAAAGAAGTGTATCCTTGTTCACAAAAAAAAAGGAATTTGCTCTCAAGATGCCGAATAACGATTTGTGTAGTTTAAACCTCACAGGAATGTAATGTCTTTATAGAGGTACGCTATATCATGTTATCGATTACAGTTACAGCTAGATTGCAAAATATGTGTTCACCTCCACCTTGTTTTTCATTTTAAATGGTCCAATCATCATTTTAATAGTAGTTTCTCTGTATCATCAAGATATCCTGTTTATTTACATTATAACATTTTTTACAATGTGCTGTGTGTCTTTTTAAGGTGTAAGTCACATTTTAATAGATCAGCCTGTTTTAAATGAACTATAGACAAATATGGTTTTATGTTTGTGATGAAATAATATTCACTTTCAGAAAGGCGGTGATTTAGAGAAAATGATAATGTGTGTTTTTAAGATGTGTGTCTGTACCAGTGTAGCTACAGCACAGGACAGTGAGTGCTGAAAGAAATATGACACATGACCTCTTTAACATTCAACATGCCTTCAGAGATGTTTTACAGTTGCGTAGAGCAAAGAGATAAATTATCGATATGTTTTACCTTCTGTGAAGTCTGGATATGGATATTTTTTTACAAAGGTTTGGAGCCGGGACAAAATGAAAGGACTGTTTGTACGTGTTCAGTGTGACCTCCAGTGTTTCCTCTATGACTGCTTCTGTTGTGTTTTTGTTTCACATTTGCTCTGTTTGTGTAGTCCTCCGCTGAACATTTACTTAGAAAACACAGGATGATTGTTAAAGGAGAATGTGCCCGCGACGGGGCGGAGCGTGGAGTTATCTGAAGGGCCCCTACCCAGAAAACAACCATACAGAAAACTCTTGACTGTCAGGGAATGTAGGTGAGAAAGATGAGAACATTTATTATTTTGTATATCCTTCAACAAACATGACACATGAAGAGGTGTTTTGTGGTCAGGCTCAGTCAGAAAAATGGGAGTGAAGACTACTGGAAGAATACATCCAATTATTGAAACAGAGGGTGTTTCTCAATGTCGAGTACGCTTGCTTGGTAGCACATGTCTTCCGAGTCACTTGCTTCAGAAGCGAGGCAAGAATACTTCCTGGCATTCGGAAAACGAAGAGTGGAACAGGCTACCAAGTGTGCAGGTGTGCCATATGAGAGGCCCCGCCTTACATTTTCCGCCACAGATTTGGGGAAATTGGAAATCCCCACAATGCTTTGCGCATAAAACATAACTGTCACAAATGCTGTCAGAACCAACATGAAACTCAAAATGACACTTTCACAATAAAAGTGCAGTAGATTGTAGTGTTATTCTTTTTACTTAGTGCACATGTGCAGCCTCGAAATTTCTCGCTACGAAGTACGCCGGGCTCGGTAGAATTCCAAGTATGCTGGACATTGGAACAGGCCTTCGGCGGCACTCGATGACGTAGCATGCTTGAAATAGTGGCTCTGAAGCAGCTTTACTCGCGATTGAGAAACACCCCAAGTGTGCACGTGTGCGTCATACGAGAGGCCCCGCCTTACAATTTCTGCCACAGATTTGGGGAAATTTGTCCGTGCGCAAAGCATTGTGGGGATTTTAAGACCCGGAGTCTACACATGTGCAGCCTCGAAATCTCTCGCTACGAAGTACGCCGGACATTGGAACAGTCCTTCTGCGGCACTCGATGACGTAGGATGCTTGAAATAGTGGCTCTGGAGCAGCTTTACTCGACATTGAGAAACACCCAGATAGTCATAGGTTACCTTCCTGTGTCATGAAAACTGGCACAGATTTGAACTTGGATTTTAGAGAAAGACCAGCAGTTATCATCTTATTAACTGAGTGATGTGCACAGCAAGAGTTTACTATTTGTGACAATTACAAAAAAGTGCAACCACAAAGAATATGAATTGTGCCAAATCAGGAAGTGTATATTCAACTTCTTAGATGATAAAAACTAGACCCAAAACCAAGAGTGTGTACTTTTATTTAGTTTAAAAGTGTAATTAATTGAAAAGAATCCCATGATGGGTGTGCAGCTCTGAAGCACACTGAACAGTTTTGAACAAACATAGTTTACTCTGGATTACAATCAGTCAGATGGTTTCTTGCACCTTGTGTTATTTGAATAAGTGATAGAAGACCTGTGAGAAATAAAGACGGTAGGATGTGTGCACAGAGCTGAAAGGTGTCGCTGAATACTTGAGGTATTTTAATTATTTTTTTACATTCCTCAAACTGTTACATAACATTTAACATGTCTTCAGACCAGTTGATTGTTGAACAGAAGATGACGGCTGTCTATAGACATTTCGATGTAAATCCTGAGTGGTACTAATAATATAATTCTACCGCAGATCAATATTCACCTCTGCTCTGTATCAAAATAAAGGATTAATACATTATTTGGTGAGAATAATGGACTTTGTATGTCTTTAATTTCTGTTTAAATCTTGACAAATATAAATAAATCTTTGTTTCGTACTATAAAAATGTATTTTGAATAGATGTATTTTGAAGAACAAGTAAAAAGCTCCCTAAGAAACAGAGGCTGTAAACATTACAAAAATATCATTTATTTATCAAAATTGAAAAACAAAACAATTCACAGTGGATGGATCACCTCTCTGCATAGATGAGGCCTAGTATCCGTGATAACTAAATTCCTTTGAGAAGTCGGCTTACTCCAAAATATTATTTTCAATCGGAAAATGTATAAACATTGGATTCAGGGCAAAAGACAGATAGTTGCCTTCACCAAAGAGCTCAAGGGCTCCATTAAATGAGGACAGGACAACTGGCTGTGATAAAGGGAAATAATTCATCAATTGATGGAGATCTTAAGTTCTAAATAGTATTTTACAACTAAAAAAAGAAAAAAAAACTTCTAAAATTACCAGAAAACTCACAAAAGACATCATAATGCTTTTGTCAATTTGTTTCAAGTTTAATGGCCAAAAAATGTTCTGAATACACAGTGTAATGACAGGTAGGAACAACTCTGAAAATAATGATTAGTTGAATGAAATCAATGTATGGGTCAGAATAAAAGTTTGGTGAGTTTAGATTTGGGCTTGGCTTAATACACTTAGTTATAGGGGCACGTGTCCAAATGATGAGTGTCGTGCTTAGACAGAGCAAATAAGATTATTTAACTTGATCTCTCTCTCTTTTGTTTTGAGTCATCTCAGTCATAGGAGTGTGTGCTTTAGTTCCTTAAAGGATAAGGCCTTAGTCAACAAAGACCATACAAAGACCACTAATGTGTTCGTCCATCTTTATCCTTTAGTGCTGTGCTTTTATTTAGGACTATTTTTCGCCGCGGAATAGTACAAATATAAAACTCTATTGAATATTTCAGGCAGCAGCAGGACAGAGTATGTGGGCCCCAAGATAAACTACAGTCCATGTTCAATTTAAAGAAGGAACATGTCACCCAGCGCCAGTGGGGCTCTTGTGTAGCTTTTAATAGATGTGAGACAGAAATGTGTATCATTCTTCCATACAGAGTTTAGTAACAATTCTCTGGAGTTGGTCTTTTCATGGGATCTGTTAACAATAAGTCAAATAAAGAATATTGCTTGCACTTATCCTTAAAACCTTTCTATATTAGCCTTGTCCAAATGTGTAATTTTAAAATGTCAAAACTCTGGGATCTATATAGCTTTCCTGCAGGACCCATAGATCTCAATACAAAATATTAACATTAAACTTTATTATAAACCTAAAAATAAAAATATGTGTTGAGGTAAAACATAAAAAACATTTTGTTTTAAATTGTTGGAGAACACAGCTCACTTAGTCCATGCACATCATAGGTAGAAAATAAAACAATGTCAAAAGTCCTTTTTAATCCCCTCTCTCCTTTGTGACAAAAAGAGATTGAAATATAAAAATTTAAACAAAACTAGCGGTAAGCCCTCGCCAGTCGAGTGTCAGTGAAAACAATCCGTCGCACAGTTCATGTTTTCAGGCCCTGGTTTCCATCTTTAATCACACAGAGAAAAGTTCATGTTGGGGGAAGATCATCCCAAGAAGCAGTTTTTCCTCTGCGTTCACAGCGCCAACAAACTCATTTCAATGCTACTAATAACTGAAGCATTATTAGTGTTACACTGAAAGGCAGGAAGCACTGTGCCAGACGTTTGGATCAGCCGACTGATCTGGATTAGGTCACCTTTAGTGACACAGAGGACAGGGGACATGTGGGGCATCAACGCTCCTCTGCTGGGAGAAAAGGACCATGACTTGGTTTCCCCCCAAAACCTGCCAGGTTATACAGCTCTCTTTCAAATGTGATGTTATGATTATTTTTTATTTAAGCCTTCTCAAAAATATTGGCTGATATTGTATTTAAATTGTATACTAAATGTATAGCTTTCCAAATACATTCCCCCCCAAAACAGTTTGAGCCGTTTTTCCTCTTCTTACAAACCAGCACAAAAGGCCAGTCCTGAAAAAAAGTGTGAACAATCTTGCAGTCCAGTGAGAGGTCAAAGGTGAAAGGTCATTCTGAGTCTGACAGGATGATGACCTCATCAGGGTCACACTGGGTGGCCACGTTGACCTGGAAACACAAACACACACAGTACAGTTTGATCAGCGCTCATAATGAAACACCTCTTTTTTTATGAATGAACTATATCTACGAAAGATTTTCTCTCTTATTAAAACTCTTAAGTTCTTGCTGTGAAAGGAAGTTTGCTGTAAACTGTGCTGAACATATCTACATCTAGCAGGAAGTACAATTACTGGTCATAAATATAAATTGATTGGTTCCTCCTATTTAAAAAGAAAAAGGAAAAAAAAGTGTAATAAAAAGATCTGTACAAACAAGAGCCTCAAGTGACAATGTGATCAAAGACAAATACTCACAATAAGTGGTGACTGTGACATGGAAAAGGATGGGAATCACCCGTAAAACATACAATATAAACATATTACATACATCAGAAAAAATGTTTGACATTGTTTAGAATATGAATCATGATCAGCACACCTGAACTATATACTGGTCACTAGAGTAAACATGTGCAGTGTATCATTCCTGATCTCTGTGGGCCTCACCTTGTTTTTCTTGGGCGGCGGTGTGGACTGGGAGCTGCTGACTATTTCCCGGGTTGGAGTGCTCGCTCGGGTTAACTCTTCGCGCTGTGGAGAGCTGCAGGTCATATCCAGAGGGATATCCACGTCACTGAGGCGTGGATGGAGAGTGGGATAGAGACAAAGCATTAGGGAGAGAGAAGTGATGAGGTAGAATCATAATCCAGAGCTACATTATTATTCATCAAAGAGTCCTAGAGCTTCAACTTTTTAAATAAGCCTCCATGTCACGGTTACCATCTTTGAAAGTGGCATTTAAAAATGTGGTTTGTTATTCTATACTAAGGAGTATTTTTCTCTTCAGCAAGTAGTGGCTAGTTTCTGTTCATTGAGAGTACAAAGGTGAAAGTTAATCATCCATTTCAGATCAGGTAGAACAGGTTAACTCTCTCGCAGCAGGAAACACCCCTCAGTTTGCTCAAACCCAATAAAGCCTGTACCTCTCGTGGACGAGTATGTGCTTTGAGTTTCGGGAGTTCCCGGATATCATTTCCTCCCTCTTCCTCTTCTGGCTCCTCGTGGCTCTGATGCTGGGCGGCGGCGACGTGCCGTTGGTCTGTGTCTTGCAATTTTCTACGATGATTACTGGCGACAGCGGCACAGTCGCCCCATTGGCTGCTGCTGAAAATACGTCTGCAGCGTCCTTAGTGCTGGTGCTCACAGGCACGACTGGAACGTGATTGGAGGAATCTGCGGGCTCCTCTAATGCTGAGGGGACGCCATTAGACAGCGGCGTCTTCTCCTCAGTCTGCATGGGCTCTGATTGGCTGGGGCTCTGTCTAGGGGAGGGGAGGTCAGACAGCGGAGAGACTTGGGAGCCGCTGTCCTCAGAAAGAGGACTGAGTCCACTTGTGACTGGCTCCTCGTTGTCCTCTTTCCCGTTTCCTTCTTTATCTCTGGTAACGCTTCCTGCTAACTGATCCGTCTGATCCTCCTTGTCGGCAGCGTCACACGCAGGTTCTGCCTCGTTACCGTCCTCCTCATCATCGTCTATACAAAGAGGGAAATTAATGACATTTGCAACAGACAGGGTTCATACACTTTTTCACCAATGACTTTTCCATGACCAAAAAAATTACCCTTTCTCAGCGGTACCACTGAAACATTTTTATTTTAACATGGAACAGGAAAATAAGGTCTGCATATGAAACATGTTGTGCCTATCTAAAACAAATCAAATAGGCTTATTAGCTTCTACACGCTAAAGCAACTAAAATCTCTCACCAGCAAAATACCTCGTCAGTTAAATGCCATTTTACATTTCATTACTATACGATACAGTATTTATTATCATTATAGTATTACTATTTCGGCGATTAGATAAAATATAAATTATATTTGATGCAACTTTGGTTACATTTCCATGACTTTTCCAAAACTTTGGGAAAAATATTGTTTTCCATAACTTTTCCAGGGCCTGGAATTAGCATTTTGAATTTCCATGACTTTTCCAGGTTGTTTTTAATGACCGTAAGAACCATGAACAGAGAAACTCAGGAGACATGTAACCCTAATCGAGCCATTCCCAACCCAATATCAGCGGGGAGAGAAACGCTTGTTGAAAAATAAACCCAAATATGTTTTAGACGCATGTTGACATTAGCAGGACACCAAACACATTAACCATCAAAATGAACTCTGACCTCCAACTTGCTGAGTGCTGGCCTGGATCTCCTCCTCGATGTCAGTGTCTGACGACTCATCTTCTTCATCATCATCATCATCCTCCTCCTCCTCTACCTCTTCTTCCTCCTCCTCCTCCTGTGCATTGCCGTTCACCTCCTTTTCTTCTTCTCCATTTTCTGATTTGTTGGCCTGAAATAGATAGGACATGGAAAAGTCAGAGTTTGATCTTATTTGCTAAAAGTTGTTACGGCTGTCTTTTTATATTGAGAGGACCAGCAGATAAGGTAAGCTTATATTATAGAATCCCCCCACTACGGTGCCTTCATGTGTTGATAGAAAGTTCTGTCATGTAAGATGTTAGTCATTATACATAAATGAGAAAACACCAGCACACTGAAAGCAGCAGGTGATTTTCCTGCTCCACACCTTTTTGTCTTTGCCGTCTTTCTCCAGTCGTTTGGCCCTCTCCTGCTCCTCCGTGTCATCCTGTTTGACAGCGTACTTGGTGATGACCTCATCGAGACTGGACATGGCCATTTCTCTGTTCGAACGAAGCTTCCGCAGCAGGGAGATGTCCGACAGAGCCGGGTCTGAGGCTGCAGAGGGGGGTGGACAATAAATGAGTCAGATAGGAAATGCGAAACATTTGAAGTAACTCAAGTCTTTGCACCGGCAATACCACAGATCTATTATATGGGCCTGATCTGCCAGTTGTCATAACGGATCCCTTTTCTTTGAACGGCAAACCAGATCTACGGCCCATTGAGAAACAAATCAAAGAAAGTGTCTGAGTGTTGTTCAAATGAGGGACGGCGGAGGAAGAGGAATGTCCATTGCTAATAATATGGTGAAAAATCAATGCATTTCATATAAAAGCAATTTACTTTTAAGATTAAATGGTAGGGATTTTGTCAGACTTTACCTTTTTTTCCAACATAGGTTGTGAATTGTAAATAGGGTAGACACAAAGAACTGTTGCTTTAGCATACACCATTTCAGTTCATAGAAAATAGTTAATGTCATGCTTCTGTTATATTGTTTTGTTTGTTCTAAACAAAAATGTGTTCTCTGTTGTCCCAAAAGGGAAAATATATAGTTTTTTTGTGGTGTAATTACTGTCACATTTGTGTTAATAACCTAGTTTTCAGTAAAGTCAGAATACTGTCAGTCTGCCACAGCTTCAGCAGACAGACCTCCTCCCTTGAACCTTACCGGGCTTGTAGGCGTCAGTGAAGCGCGAGCCGAAGTTGTACACCAGGTCCAGGTGACGCCTCTCCTGTATGCGGCTCCCGGTCTCTCTGAAAGCCTCCTGGGCGATCTGGTTCAGCAGTTTCCGGGTCAGGCACAGGTTGTGGCGCTCGTTGGTGCGCAGCACCTGCTGGAGGATGTCATGGTAATCCGGAGGGTTCCTCTGCGCCTCAGGACTGTTGATGAAGCGCTCAATCTGACAGGAGGAAGGAACATAGGGTAAGGAATCAGGAGCATATCAAATTCAACCACATAGAAATAAAGTAATAGGAAATATAACAGCTTCCAACCTAAGTCTATATTACAACACCAGACATGAACTTCTTGATCTAAAATTCTGAAGATCCTTCAAAACTATTAAGATTCAACACATTTTAAGGTTCTGTCATTTTCTGTTTTGTATTGTGCTCTATGTATTTGTCAAATCTAGCTGATAGTAATCAAATCAATTTCATGCAAGATGGATGTTAGCTGTAGGAGGCTCATATTATATGTGAAACGAATACTGCTGACATCAAGATATCGCTGAGAAGGTTAGAGGTTATTGCTAATATATTGGTTAGGTAGACTAATAGTATACTCAGTTTATCCCAGTGTTTGACTTTCATTTCAACACGTATAACTATTTCAACCCACCCTCCTGTTGATCTCAGGGTAACGCGTGCTGTTGTAGCTGATCCTCTGCTCCATGACTCGGCCGGTTAGCGTGTTGCAGCTCTTTAGTTCACACAGCTTTTCATAAATCTTCATCATCTGGAGGAGGAGAATAGGACAGTAAGAGAGTTAGGACAGGTGTGATTATAATAATCTGGTGCTATGGTTCTTTTTAAAGTTTCAGCAGGGTTTATAACAAGCGGAGCCGCAGTCTGACCTTGCGTTTCAGCTTGTGCTCCTGGATGTACGAAGAGCCCTCATTTCCAAGGTCGTCCAAACTCAGCTCGGCCTGCTGCAGGCGGCAGATCTCATCGTTGTAAAGCTTCAGGAGGTTCTCCAGGTAGGCTATCTGAGAGTCATGGAGAAAAGACATGATGGCTCAGGTGTGTTTGCTCACACAGAGTTCATATCCTAAATGTAGACGTTTAACCCGGGTTGTTTGTTTACTTGGCTCTACATCTCTCAAGTTGGTCAGGGATACAGTTCAAAACGGTTCTAGAAACGTTTCCTTTATCCTGATTATTTACCAGATTACAACTGATTATATGAGCAATTCAGTGATTATTGTTTATTCATACTTTTATATATTTTCCTCTTTTTACTTGTTTGAGAAAGCATTTCATAAACACTGAAAACATGACTATTAAAATAAATAAACAGCAGTTATATTAAGGTCATTATGATCAAAAAACCATACCTAGTAGTTTCCACCACTAACCTGTTTTCTGGAAGCCCTCTTTGTCTTTTTCTCTGCTTCCTGGTCCTCCTGCAGCCCTGAGGTGGATGGTTCCTTATCCTCTGCTGCCGGGTTCACCCCTCCGTCTTCTTCGTCCATCTTCACTTTAGTCTCGTCGTCATTTTTTAGCATAAAAGAGGTAGACCGGAAAGAACTTGATGTTGAGGTAGAAGGTCGGGGTTCAACCTTGGATAGGATCAGCTTCCTCTTAGCTGCATTCTGCTTGAGTGCAGTGCACAGTTCATTGATGTAGACAAAGGCTTTGGAACGGTTGGCCTGAGCGCGAGTCAAACATCGTCCCAAGGTGTTCCTGAACTCCACCGATGACAGATAGTCGGGGGAGGCCTTGGCATGTTTGGTTTGGAGAAAAGTTAAGACCTCAGGGCAGTCCTGGGTGAGAACGGTGCAGTGGTCCACAAACTAAGAGGAAAGAAAATATGAAGGATTAAAGGCAAGGTGTTTTTATAGAAAATCAATAAAACCACAACCACTATCAGCATATGGGATTCAAGTGTGTCTAGTTCACATCCTGTTTTGATGTATTCTCAAGGAAATGACAACTCTCTGTGTATGACGACTATTCTCAAGAGTTAAGATGGAAGTTTTGCACATCTAATCAAACTTGTGGTCAGGTGCTTGATACAAAGTTCTCTGCAATGACTAGCAAATGTAATAATATCACCATGTCTTTACGGTAATAAATACAAAAATGTACCAGCCAAAGGTTAATATAGCTTGGACTGTACATTTGTCTAGAGTTCAACCCCTGTTATTTGCAGAAAACCTACCTAATATAATAATCTCTGAAGTTCGTGGAACAATACAAAAAGCACCGTAATGACACAATGACAAACCACTTTGGATAAAACACTTAATATGAACTTGATATGAACTCACTTCAGTAAACAACCTCTGGTTGGTGGCCTGCAGAACCTGTGGGTTCTTCTTGGCAGAGGAAAAAGGTGACTGTGTAATGTGGGTAGGGGCAGGCTGCGGAGCTCTGAGGGGGGAGATGAGTTTGGCTTTGAGCTGGTAGGATGAGGTGGAGGCAGAGCAGGAGGGTTGAGGGATATCCTCTTCATCGTCATCATCAAGGACTATTATCTTATCTGCCATCAAGGCGGGAGCCACGGCCATCCAAAGTGTCAGTGATTTCTGATTTCAGAAAATACAGGAAAAATGTTGATAAGGTCACCTGAAAGTACAAGATGTCAAAGAAACAGTAGGAAGCTGAACATTAAACTTAAGTAAATGTTGGTGCTCATAATGTATTGCTTTTATTTAAAGAATATATTAAACGCAGGGCTTTTACTCCACACCCAAATATTGCTAATTCCACTTATTAAGATAAATATCTTAATAATTGTTCCACTACTGGTATTAACACACTGAAACACGACCATAAGCCTGTGATGTGCTAGCAGTACATCATGTTGTCTATGGTTTAAAGAATGAGACGAACATTCAGCGGCTTTAAGTGAAACTAAAAGGCGACGTGACAGAATATTGATAACAGAAAAACAGATGGCAAATGAGATACAAGCTATGGTTAAGAAATAAAGGTTTTGACTACCACACACTAATATGACACACTCACACATACTGACCTCTTGTTTACGAGCGACTTCACGCGAAGACAAAAAGGGAAGTTTGTCCACGATCCACCATTAGAATGTTGGGTTAGGGTTAGCTTTAGCATTAGCTAGTTAGCAAGTAAGTGAGCGAAGTAAGAAAACAATCGACCCAGAAAAGAAGCCTGCATGATGTTTTTAACATAACTCACAACAAACATAAATCCATGATACTATGTAAAACCCTACTTTAATCCCGCATACTTTCTCTTAACCAAAACAACGCTAGTTAACTTCGCTATGCTGTCGAATATGGAAAGCTCTTTGTCGAAAGTGTATGAAGTGTACCCGCTAAATTCAGAGCAGCACCGATGCCTCTGATTGGATGATAGATGGTACAGTCAGTAAAAGCGTTAGCCATTGGGTGGCTTTCGTTCGGTGAGATTTTTTTTATAGTTTATGTATTTAAGAATTACCTTACTGTATTAATAAATATACAACATAGTACATCCATAATACAACGACATTAAGATGGCACTTTCGGATACTAAAGACAATATAAAATAAAGTCAAGCATTGAGCATTCTTTTACTTTCTCTTATATTTTTTTCTACTTAAATTGCTATCTGGTGTGCATTTAAACGATAAAACCACAAGAATACTATCTAGCAGCAACACAAGATGCAAAAAAGTAGGCCAATCATTACCAGCGTAATGAATGAACGCATTTTTCAAGACAGAGAGTGGGGGATGAATGTGGGTTAGGCCATGTTGTGTGCCGTGAATTAAACAGTTATGATTGACGTATTATTCCATTGCCTATTATACAAATATAACTGTTATTTCAGATCCTTACATATTTTCAGTCAAGGATTAACACCTTTCCAAACCAAAAACATATTTCCCCATGTAGTTTTATTGTGAAAAGACAAACGGAAGTCACACTTTGTATTCTAACCATCTGAATCTTTGCAGAATGTTCAATAGGATTTTTTTTCATTTAGAAACAGGTTATCCCTGCTGAATTGTTAGCAAGAAAAAAAAAGCTTCAGCCACACTGTTAAAATACTTCCATACACATTATTCTAGGAAGACTCCTTTTAACCAATGATATATGGACACTTGAGAATTATCAGGTTATTTTTCAAATAATGTGACATTTTATAAACAGGAATAAAGGCATCCAAAGGCAGCATGTTTAAAAAAAAACTTTTATTTATTTTCAAATTCACATTTAAATTAAGATAATTAAACACATCTTGACATTTCAGGTCTGTTTAAAGGATTTAGAGAAATTAAAATTAAGATAATTAAACACATCTTGAATGTTCCCTTCAGTGAACACATGCTTTGTTTGTACTATTACCTACAATTTTAACTTAACCCGGGCTGTAAAAGCGTCATTTCTACCAAAGGTTGCAAAAGTAATAGCGTGACACACAAACACACATACACATTTTTTTCACAATACACACACCAACAAATATTTTTTTTGTATTTACAAAAACAGGATTCAGTTTGTGGTTTTGACATAGGTCTAATTATATATATATATTTTACTCCTGAGTCATTTTTAAAATAAGTTTTATTTATTTATTTTTATGCTCCCTCTTATCTCATTATTACCTCAAAGTTAAAGTGTTTTTTCTAACAAAGGGTTGCATCATATGGAAGGGTTTACACCCCCAAATTGTAGCTGATATTTCAAAACATTACCATTTAAAATCCTCTAAGTTTCTGGTCCTTTACCAGCTACATCGCATCAAGCAAAAGAAAAATCACAACTAACACGTTTAGACTGAGCAGAAGCCATTTTTGAAAAACCCTAACCCTAACAGAATTTAAATCCCTAAGAAATATTGTCTTAAAATAAAAATGGTGAAAGCAAGCAAGCTTCTCTCTGGATCAGTGAAAAAACAATGATTAGGGGGATATTTCCTGCTAAACCCCATCCAAACCTGGATCAGTATCACAATTTCACAGCAGTGGACTTCACTCTTCTTTACTTGTCCTTCTATAAAGGAAGAAATTGAAACGTGTTATTGAGGCAGAAAAGTGTTACACTAATGACAACACATTGTGAATTATGAACTTTTGTTTTGAAAAATAACAATACCTTCTCTTGTTGGCCAGCCACATCTGAGCCTGTGTAAAGTGAAAAGAGAAAAAGTTATAAACAGAAGTAAAAAAAAAAAAAAGGGGTAATAATTATTATTATTGTAAATACACATGGACTTTTGAATGAATTATTTGTTACCTGAGCTGGTGATGGTCCAAGAGACAAACTTGATAAGTCCGTAGAGGACTAGTGCTACACCGACCATTCCCATGGAGTCCTCGATGGAGGGAGTACTGAAACCTTTAGAGACAAAATAACAAAGTCTTAATTGATTCCAGTTTATATGACTTGTCTCTTTGTTATCAAGCTTGATTCGAATAATGAATTTAACCTACAACATTAATACTTTAACAATTATATATTCCAACAGAGCCATCATATACAGTATATTAGGTGTGTTACAAGATTACATCCATATTTTATACTGTCTATGTTTTTTTAATGGCCCACAGCGGGAAATGACCATAACCTAGCATAATGAGCACCAGTCTCTTTACAGCATAAATCAGAACCATCAATATTTACATCAAATTAAGATATTCATGGTGTGATTTAAGGGTTGGGTGATATAAATGAATACAAGTTTACTTAATTGGATATCAATGCAGGTAAAGACATTGACAGCTCATTAAACTTATTATAACAGTTAAAAACATTTACAAATGGCATCACCTATCTCTAATGCTGTCTTTAAAAGCAGAAAATACAACGTGTAGGCTATCATTTATCATAATAACCATAATCCCAAAAGATGGTCTCATATAACGCTATCATCTTTATATTAATATATCTGCGTATGCTAATTGGCACATTATAACTTTGGCAATGTTCAGAAAAATCACTAACTGGCCTCTATCTTGTTATGGTGTAAACGTTTGAACCCCTTGTTGCCAAAAGAGCTTGATAACTATCGGAAACAACAACTTTTTTTAACATTACCGATGACATTGAGGGTCACGCTGGCCTGTCTTGTGCCTCCAAGATGGACAGCGACACAGGTGACCTCCCCTCCTCGGCCCAGGTCTAGTTCAGTCGTGTCAAGCTCCAGCCGGCTGCTCTGGCTGTAGGTTCCATCCCAGGCCTGCCTGTGGCCCGTAACGCTGCCTGATCCCAGAGGCCTGGACTTCCCATCGATGCCTTGAAATTCCCAGCTCAGTTCCAGGGAGAGGGGGGCAAAGCCGGACGCCTCACACTGAGCAGTCAAAGTCTGGCCTTGAACAGCGAGGGGGAGAGGGGACGGGTAGATGGACACGGAGGGAGGTTCTGGGTAGAAGGAGGAACAAATGGAGGAGCAAAAATAAAAAGGAAAGCCATTAAGAGAGGTGAATCATAATCTTTTTTTTTTTCCAATGTTGTTTGCCATCAGACAATATACAATTACAGGCTTTATGTGACTGTCAACAATTACTAATAGTTAGAGATATAACTTATTCATAGAGCAGAGGCATGCAGGTGTGTCTCCAAACACACAACATAAAGCACATACATTTTCCCTTACCTACAACTTCAAGCTCCAACGTCACCTGAGCCACAATGTGTGGTAGATACACCGAACAGATATACATCCCGGAGTGACGCACTTCAGCTTCCTGAAGTATCAGAGACGCATTTCCTTTCTCGTGCAGTCCCTCAAGGTCCAGTGAGGCCCCTTTCTCTTTTGTATCAGCCAAGCGGTCTGTTTTCCCGTCGTAGGCCAGAACCAATCGTCCGTCGCCTCTGAACTGGTAGCGCCACTCCACGGCAAAACCTGACCCGGATAGAGGCGAGGAAGGGTCGACCCAGAATCCGCAATCCAGCAGCACTGGTTCCCCGAGCCTGGACTGCACTGACACCGTGTTGCTGGTCACACTGAGGATCACTGAGCAAACAGACAGTGAGGAAGAGAGAGTCAAACTACCACATATGACATACGATTCAATTACTGACCAACTTAATTATAGATTTAATTAATTGTGTATATATCGGATAATTATATATTTTAGTGTTTCTCTAATTGAAACAGACATATTGCCACGGGTAACAATTTTTTGTGTCATAAATCATTACCATTGTGCTCTTTAGTTGCTGTTGGAGCACGCATGATCGTGGAAATGGCCACCTGTTTGTTGAGGCCCTGCAGGGAAGTTGAAAACCAATCAGCTTCCAGGTATATGGGGCTTAAGCCGGAGTCTGTGAGTGGAGCAACCCATTTGAGGTCGGAGAGCTGCGGTGAGAAGGGGTTCATCTCACACTGGGGCTTCTCCACCGAGCCTCTGGGAGGGTTCAGAGAGTGGTGGCAGAGCGTGGCTGCTGGGTCTGAGGAAAGACATTTTGGAGGGAAACGTGTATGTTTTGTCATTGTACTTCTAAATCAGAGATGCTCACTCTGCTTATGTGTAAAATAAATGGAATTTGACAAAAGAATGGTAGCTTGATCTAAAAAGGGACATGAACAAAATCTAAAAATGATGAATTAATCCGAGAGACGATGATGATTGAGAAACATTTCAGGTCTGTTTAAAGGATTTAGAGAAATTAAAATTAAAATATTTTAATAAATATATCATATAAATAAATATGCAGTCGCTATCAGAAAAACTCGAGTTAAAGACTAGAACAAAAATACAATAAATGAAGCAACACTGAAACCATATCTACAGTGTATAATCTATTATGAAACAAAGCAACTTTAAAGAGAAAGTATATAACTATATCAGTACTGAAACTGTAAAAGAAACTAAACGGATATAGTCTGGATCCTGAGATCTGATTCACTGCATCTGAAAAAGTGCAATGATAATAATGGACCAATAGCTCTTATATGTCGACTTACAGAAAACGGTATCGGCCATGGAGCCACACACGTGCAGATATATACCCTACATCCTGTTTAATGAGTCCTTTTGAACTAACCGGTGATAGAGTAGACTCTGTCGGGGTTGATGTCAGATGGAGCCTGTTGGGACTTGGCTGTGTGGCTGTGTGCGTCTGTCCTGATGTGAAGCAGGGACTTTTCCTGGCTTGTAGCTCCAGTTAAACCTCCTCCTCGACCAGTTTTCTCCTGAACAAACCAGCACTCCAACACTGGACAGCTGCTGCTGCTGCAGGCTTTAGGCAATAGATTTAGGAAGGAATTAACAATATACATATATATTTTCTAAAACAGTGTAACATAGGAGAATAATAGCACTGTTTTCTCAATTGTAAACCCTAGCTGTTTGTACTTTTCATTGGCTACAGTGCAACATTCCCCTAATTTTAACAATGTAATAATT